GTAAAGGTTTTAGGTATGTAAAAATGGCTAAATATTTTTAAATTTGAAAATTATATCAAAATTTCCAAAAAATTTTAAAATTTTAGAAAAATTGAATATTTTGTAAATTTTTAAAAATTCAACAATTTTTTGAAAATTTGTTTTTATATTTATATCACTGTGCGAACTTTTTAAAACGTTTTTTGCATTGTTTATAAAAAAAAATCATTTACAACTTGCCATCTAGTGCGTAGCTACCGAAGTACAATTTACAGTTACCTGTAGGTAGGAAAAACTCGCACAGTGGGATAAATTTAAAAAATGGTAGGACAAATTTGCACAGTGGGGTACATTTTTAAATGGAAGGACAAATTCGCACAGTAGAATATGTTAATATTTTATTTTTTAAAATTTTTAAAATTTGTTAAAGCACAAAATGAAAGTAAAAATATTTTCCAAATGCTTGTAATTAGGTAAAAATAGCTAAAATTTTTCAAATTTGACAATTTTAAAAATTTTGTTAATTTGTTCTGCCATTTTTTGTATTTATACTACCTACTGTGCATTTTTGTCCTAATTTTTACTTTTTTAATAAATAAAATCAGGTGTGTCCGTGTGTTTAAAATTTTAAAAATTTGATTTTTTTTTATTTGTCCTGCCATTTTTTATATTTATACCACTGAGCGAACTTTTTAAAACGTTTTAAAAGTAATCAATGATAACAAAAATGTAAATTTTTAATGAATGTAGAATATTGCCCTTTGTGCAAGCCTATTTTGCGTCAGTTGTCATAGGTCAGGAACAACCAGTGGCGGCCCAAAATTTCTACGACTTTTTCCGAGAAAAAACACATTACATTATACACCCTGTATATCTTCTAGCTTAGAATGTTTCCTAAGCCTTAAGCATGTTTACCAACACATAAGAAAACTAAACAATTTCCCGGTGTTTTCGCGTCATTATTCCGGCTTATTTTCGCAGATTCTTTCGCTTTTCTGTATTTTCTTTATTTTCCGCAATTTTCTTCGACGGCGTCAATTTTTATCAATGAGCGCCGCTTTCCCACGTCTCTCTAAAAATACATTTTCTTATCGTAGCTAGAGGTTGTCACGTATAGACGACGAAATAAGATTTATTTATCGCGCAAAATACGATTATTTTTTCCCATCGTGGTACGCCCTCCAAATTTAGTGTCTCGGAAAATTCGCCAGATTAGAATTTTCCACTCGAAAATACCGCCTAAATAAGTTATTGTTCAAGAAAAATGTCTTCAGGTACACCGTGACACATTTTTTATTATAACGGGAAAAATATTGTAGATAAATAAAAAAATTTTATATAATCTTAAAACTAAGTAAATTTACTTTCATTTTCATATTACTATGATAAAATAATTTTAAAAATAAAGAAAATACAGAGGTTACAAAAACACCTTTAATTTTCTCCCAAACAAACTTATTACATTTTGACATTTTTGACGATTTCTTAAAAACCAATAAAGATTTTTAAATTCGGTTTAAATTTTTAAGAAGTCAGTAAAATTTACTATATCATTTTTTTAAGATGAAAACAATACATTGATAAACAAAAAAGATACATACGTTGACATATATTGCTAATTTCATAGTACATTTGCAAGACTTTATTATATTAAGGATATCTTCAAAACAAATAAATATATTCATAAATGGTTTTTAAAACGTTAAACCCAAAATACTCCCCTACATTTTTCTACTTTCAACTTCCAAATCAGATAAAAACTAACACTACAATCGACGTTCAAAAATAGCGCCATATTTTCCGGTCGATTTGTTTTTATTTCACTATTCCCTGTTTTACATTTACTATAAAAATGCATCCCTCCATAGCCTTTAAACTAACACACGCATATAAAAAAAGCAATTCCCCGCCTTACAATTTGTATTTCTGTTTATTCAGTCAATGTTGAATACGTAATATAATAAAAAAATACTATGAAGTAATGCAGGATGATATTTTTATATGCTTTGGAAAGATGTAAAAAACATTCTTGGCACGTATAAAGCGTACAGACAAATAAAATGGGTCTTTTACATTAAAAAGGAATTTCTTAATTCGGCACAGTGTGACGAAACTAAAGCACGATTAACATTTATTATAATTTTGTTAATAATTAACAAATGGGTTAAATTTTTTTAATTTTTCAAAAACCATTGAAAAAAGGAATACATTTTGGTATATCATTTTATAAAAGTTAACCAGAACTATAAAAGTTACAGGGTGTTTAAGTTTTTATTGCCTGAACAGTATTGTAGTTTTTTATCGATATCTAAAGAAGTGTTTATATTTTTTGTAAATTATTAAAATATATTTACAATTTGATCCATAAAACATAAACAATAAAATAGTTGCTGTGGTTGCATCCCTCAAAATTTTTCTTTGTCCCACCGTGCAGCGATAAAAAACGTGTCCTGAAATTATTTTCACCCAACTCACGTATTACAGGGGGGCGAAAACTCTTCTTAGTCCGATCAGAAATGATTAGTAACCATAGTTACAAAATTATACACTTCCTGTCAGTTTGTGTGTATATTGGGTGCATTTCTTTTTTTCTTTTCTCTCTCTTGCGTAGAAACTACCACATAATAAAAAATCGTTACGTCGTTTCAGCGAGACATATAAATCACGAGGTTAAGTCGGGGTTAAAATGAGGTGTCGGAAAAAATTATAGATCAACTTTATAAGGATTTTTTTACTTTACGCTCGGTCATTAATAACATTGACCTATGTAACTTTTTATTTGTCAAGGAATCAAGATGATGGAAAATAAGTTATGGATTTTCCAAACATGCATTTGTTGGACTTAATGTAAGAAAAATTGGAGTAAAATGTCATTAATAATAATATTAATAATGAAACATTTTAACAATTTTTTAGGTTTTTACATTGTTAATGTAGGAAAAGTTTGGGTTTTAAGGGTAGATAAAACATAAGCTTAGCTTAAACTTAACATAAACTAAAGCCTAGCTTAGTTGTAAGCCAAGCTTAGCATTAAGCTAGGCTTAGATTAAACTAAGTTTAGTAAAAATCAGGCTTAGCTTAAGCTAAGCTTAGCTTAAGCCAAGCTTAGCTTAATTCATGCTTAGCTTAAGCTAGGCTTAGGTCCTAACCTGTCGAACAAGGTTAAGCTAAACTTATCTTAAGCCAGGCTTAGCTTAAGCTAGGCTTAACTTAAGCCATGCTCGGCTTAAGCTTGGCTTATTTTAAGCTAGGCTTATTTTAAGCTAGGCTTAACTTAAGCTGGGCTTAAACCCAAGCTTTGCTTTAGCCAAGCTTAAAACCAAGCTTAAATAAATCTTAAGCCAGGCTTAAAAACCAACTTTAGCTTAATCCAAGCTTAAAAATCAACTTTGGCTTGACTTGAATATAAGCTTAAACATAAGCTTGCCTTAAGCTTAAATTTTGTGATTTTGTGAAACACTTATAAAAAGCTTAGGTTAAGGTAAGCTTAAAAACCAACTTTAGCTAAACTTGAACATAGGCTTAAACATAAGCTTGACTTAAGCTTAAATATAAAACTCAAGCTTATAATAAAACTTAAAGTTAGGCTTAAACTTTACCACGATTTTATTTTGTGGCAAAATAATATGTGAAATTAAATTAATAACCTTTCACACTTTTTAATTACTCATAATACTTTCCGAGATAAAATCGTAAACGTCACACCCCTACAAACATACAAATATGATTCGAACACGTAGGTCACAGTTCGGACCCCTGTGGTACCGAAATTTATTACCGCCATTAATCCCGCCTTAATGCCAACGCAAACAAAAAATCTAATCCGCTCAATTAATAACCGGTAGGTTAATTGAAAAGGCGCCCGTGTTAAGTCAAGATAAGCGCACAGAGACTTAAAAACAGAATATTAAATTCCGATGCTCTTAAGCTACAACAGGAAGTTAAAGGGGTTGCCGAGATAAAAGGGGCAACATTAACATAGTTACGTTTAGCGGGGGGGGGGGGGGGGGCGCGGTAATCTCTCCGAGATCTTAATAATTAATAAACTACTTTAATATTTAATATCTTCGAGCTCGCAGTAATTATTCGTGTTTGCTGCTAAACGATCCGGCATTATTTGGTTTTGGATGATATTAAATGTTTAATAAAGCTCTAACGTTAATTTACACGTGGTTTTTAAGCTAAGTAAACAGGGTTCTGTGGTTTTCGTTGTAACTTTGGTAGTTTTAATGCGATTTTAAAACGGTTTGGATTTTCGGAAAGTTTGTGAACTTCTCCATAAAATAACTATTAATATGATATTGAAATTATTAAAGTTAAGGGTAAGTTTGGTATTAAAGATCTGCCTTATTTTAAAACTGATAAGATGCCTACGATAACCCAAAAAGTATACAATGGTTTACAGTTTTAAAAAGACTTACTAAAAATAAACTAAATAATAATAAAAAATGTACAGGGCTTTATATTCACTGCGACATTAATTATGGTTTTGCATTAAACGATATATTTGGTTATATCTCAAAAACCATTTAAGGTATCTTAAATTGGTTTACACTATAATAAACCCAGTAAAATTACCTACAACTCTTAAATTTACACCATCAAAATCAAACCACACACAAAAAAGATACAGGGTGTTTACTTCGACATTAATTATGGTTTGCATTAAACGATATATTTGGTTATATCTCAAAAATTTATGAAGATATTTTATAATAGTTTTTGTTTGTTTAATCGTTATCTATTCATCTACAATTTAACCTAAAAATATATAAAAATTGGACACCAACAAAATAAAGAATTTCAAGTAAACAAAAGTGCAGTAAGCAACATTTTGGGTTATATCTCGAAAACCATTTAAGATATCTTAAATTGGTTTACACTATAATAAACCTAGTAAAATTACATACAACTCTTAAATACACCATCAAAATTAAACCACACGCAAAAAAGATACAGGGTGTTGAAGTCGACCCAATAAAAACGTAAATTTTTAACTAATTTTTTTTCTTTTTTTTTAGTGGGTTGAGGAAAGTTTCACGAATTTTCAAAAAGGTATCAACTGGCGATCGTACGTTGTTTGCGACGTTGCCTATAACAACGTGAACAATTGGCTATGGAGTCCCTTTATCGACAGAGGTGTAGCCAATAGAATCTACATTGAGATAAAATTTACTATCAGAGATTGCAGCTTGTTTCCAGGTAAGAATTTGCGCAATATTTGTTTCGCATGGCCCCTGTATACTATATACGAGTAATTTTACGCTATGTCATGATGAAATTTGATAAAATTTAATTTAAATTTAAACCAAATCGATAGGCAATTATAACTAGGTAATGATTTTCTTAATTAATTTTAATGTACCGTAAAATAAATTAAATTAAACAAAACTCACTGAAAATCGCGTATTTTTATGTAAGAAATTGTAAAAAACTTCATTAATTAAAAAGTGTAGATTCTATTAAATTTTATAATGATTTTACTGTTCAATAGTTGCAAGGCAGTAAAAAGTTTATAGGTATTAAATCTTTAATTTATTTTTTATTATTTTCCTTTATTAATAAAAAAGTGGTTATTACTGAAATCGTTAAAAAATTCAAAATTAAACTAAGTATGCCAAAGAAAGTTTAATGTAAAATACATTCTATTATAAAGTTAACATAACGCCACAAAAATAGTCCAACGCGTCAAATCAGGTCATCTAGGCGGCCACTGCTTGAAAAAATTAATAAATAATTTTTTATTTCATTAAAATTTTTTTATTTTTTTCAAAATAGTTTTTTACATTTTTTGTATAATTGATTACTTTGTTGATAGGGTAAACCACATAGTTATTGGACACTTAAGGAATATTATTTATTTTAAATTTATATATGCCGTTGTTTTAAAGATTTTAGTTTTTTTCTTATAAATATATAAAAAGGATAGTTTATTAGTTTTATAAAAACATGAAAAAGTATAATAATTGGACATTTTATATAGTAATTGGACACATGGAACATAGTTATTGGACATCAAATAACATAAATTGTTAAAGAAATTAAAGATAAATTGCTGTTTTAGGTTATTTTTTATTTCATTTTTGTAAATATCATATAATTCATATATTTCTTTCTCGGATTCCTCATCCCTTTTCTGGATTCTGAAGGTAACTACTAATTCCTTGCTCTGACTTCTGAAATAGTTTGTTTGCAAATATCATTGTGGTATCTGTAGTTTGTGAAGCATTTATAATGTTTAGGCCGGAACAGGATGATTTATATATATCTAATATTTTTTCGGGTGGTATGTTAAAAGTATTTTCCGAATTTATTAATTTTGTTGCCATTAGTTTTTTATGTTCTCTATCATGCACTGTTATTCTGGAAGATGCCCTGTGACGAAAAAATCCCTATATTACTTACTCTCTAAAAATAAATTAGTCAAAAATGTTATAGCGAAAAAGCAGCCACTAATAATTCTCGTCAACAGCAACTTGTATCCAGGACATTTAGCAGTCAATTTCTATGAAATATTATTCGCTGAAAGTTATAAAAGTAGGACAGTTTTTGAAATATAATCAATTTTACAAATAATATGGAATTGACTATATCTCAGAAACTGCTTAACTTTTATAGTTTTTGACGGTCTTTTCGGATTCAGGGGACAATTTTACATAAGAATTGGCTGGTAAATGTCCGGGATACAAATAGAGTGTGATATTGGACACATGTCCAATAATAGAAATTTACATTTTTTACCAACCAGTAATTGGACACTGGCCATTTTACTGTTTGTTTTCAGAATTAAAATTAAAACGCATTAAAGTGGCAATGTTTAAACCATGAGGAACACATTTATACCACACACTGATCTGTACACTTTTTAGAAATATTTTTATTGTAATTTAAACACAGCCCTGCTCTTAACAAAAAACAAAAATCTTACCACCAATAAAGTAGTTCTGTATTATTACCGACTGAGATAGTTATAATTGTATACAGCGGCATCTAATGATTTGACTTTATGGTAACTATTTATAGAACTCTTGTTTTTACAGTATTAATGTTAATTGTCCAATAAAGTGTCCGATAACTGTCTACTTTACCCCATTTTTTAAGAAAAATTTAATAGACTTATTTCAAAATAACTTTTAACATTGTTATAGCATTGCAATGGTCTCCAGAGTGCATTATTATAACTTTTTTTCTTTCAGGAAATGCTCTGTCTTGTAAGGAAACATTCAGTCTTCTTTACTATGAGTTCGATGCTGCTACCAGGGAACCCCCGCCATGGGATGCTGAAAGATACAAACTGATAGGTAAGAAAAAAGTTGTACCCCTTCTAATTTCGAATTGAATAGCAAATTTTACCCAAAATTAGTAGTCACCTACATTTAACTACTTTTTTATATGATTTTACTCACCAACCAAAATTATCAATCTGTCATTCTAGTCTAGAACATCCGGCAACACTGGATTATGAACATGATTTCGTTTTTAAAGTAAATTATTAAAAAAAAACAGTTTTGTAGTACTTTTAATTTACTAAAAAATTGTTTTTAACAAATCTATTGAGAGCAAATATGTTGGCCATAAAAAAATGCGTTGTTGCCACCACTTGTTCTTTAACACAATTAGGTCACTATAAAGTCATTTTACATGATAGTTTCAATATTACCACATCATACTTTATAGTTTCTTCTATAAATAAAAATGCTAAAAATAAACAATGCAGAAATAATCTGTCTACATACATTCGCAATTATCTAGATATGGGGCCAGATTTTTTACATTAACATAATTAGTATTGTAAAGGCATAACATTGACACATTTATTAGATTATGTTTAATTATTAATTTATTGGTATAAATTATACACTAATAGCGATTAGATATTACCTATATACATTTTTTCCTGCACAAACCTACGCTTTGATACTTTGTGTTCTGTGCAAAAATTGTGCAGCATATGCCAAAGGGCATGTGCATACAATTAAATGGATTGTAATAGTACGAGCAGTGGCGTGTAGTTTTTTAATATAAGGGTCATTCCATTGAAAAAAAACATTCCAAATTATAATGTGCGAATGCGAATGGCTGAATGACCATTGCGCCTTTAACTATTGGAAATACGAAAAAAAAAATCTGTCAATCTGTCAAACGTTTTGCCATGTTTTTGTGACAGTGATTTTGTGATAGATGGTTAGTAAATATTATACTTTTGGAGGCCTGTAATTTTTAGGAATGTTTCCCTAAGAAAATTCAGGACATAGAGGCAGAATAGTAAAACACCCGAAACGCACACTTTTTGACTTATAAAATCGTTTATGCTAAACTGTACAATTTTACAATTTAGATAAAACAACTAAAAACGTAGAGAATAAGGCACTAAAATGCTAAAATGTTATTTCAAAATACATACAAATTTAGACTTTGGTTGAACAAATTTAACACCCGAAACGATGGAATGACCCTTAATAATTAAAAATATTAGCTTTTCAATAAAAAAATTTATTCTTTTTTTATAATAAAATGACAATTTTTTTTCTTTAAATATTTGAACTTGTGCTAATGTTACTTAATTTATTACAATAATTTACAATAACAGTTTTCTGCCCACCTATACTATTTAGTAAAGTAGTTTAATTAGATTAAAATCCATTATGGTAGATAAATGCTTTTAATACAAAAAAAGTTGATCTATTTAGTTAGTTTTTTTATAAATAATATACTTGTAACGGGTATTTTTATATGATGGAAATACTAAAAAGGCGTGGCATAATAAAAATAATCTTTTAAACGGACTTAAGTATAATATCTATTATTATATACAGGGTATCCCAAAAATTGGGAAATTCCACGAAAAATTGTCACCAACCATTTTTCTGAAATCGTAAAGTTATTTAACTTTTAAAGCTGAAAATAAGAGCGCGGAATTGTGCTCAGACGTCACGCCATCTGTTGGGAAATTTAATTGCCTACAAAAAAGGTCAATTTTGACGTAAATATTGTAATTTCATAGATTTTTTTCACAAAATTTATTTATCTTTTAAAAGTAACAATTTTTTTTGCTATATTTTGTTGGTAAATTTATGTATATTAGACTGGGCCAAATAAATCTATTTTTTTTTAAATACCTATATCGAAAATATGGTTTGGGGTGACAAAACAAAATTATTGTGAAAGTTTGAGTCCATAATATTAATATTAAGAGGTCTATCATCGCAATTTTAAATTTTTTTTCCTCAGCAAGTCTCAAACAAAATGGACTTTTAAGAAAATGAAATGCTCTACAAAAAATGTTAAAATAAAATTTTACGTCAGATGACCCGTTTCCTTAAAATCATGCCTGTTTTACATTTTGATCTTTTAACTTTGGAATTTTGTAATTCATGTGAAAATCAGTACCCATAAAAAACCGATAAATATTCTTATGGGAAATCAAATGCTATACAAAAAAAGCCTCTTAACATTTTTGGCTAAATTCACTCAATCAAAAGTTATTCAAGGTTAAAGTTGAAGTCAAAACGAAATTCTTGTTTTTTCCTCTGTAGATTTATTTTTTTATGGATGATAATTTGATTTTTTTCTTTATAAATGTGTATTATATAACTAATTAACAATTTCCAATAAATAAACAACTTGATTTTTATTATTTAAACGATGAAATAGGTAACAGTGAAAATAATATTTTCTAAAGAAAATAGCTTCTTGAAGAGAAAAAATTGTGTGTTATTTTTTTTTAATTTTCAGTAATTTTATCAATAACATAAAGATTATCATCGATAAAAGAATCCAAGTTTTTAACTGACCCAAAAAAAAAATCGAGCGAAAAAAAACAAGAATTTCGTTTTGACTTCAAATGTAACCTTGAATAACTTTTGATGGAGTGAATTTAGCCAAAAATGTTAAAAGGCTTTTTTTGTAGAGCATTTGATTTGTCATAAGAATTATTTTTTTTCGGGTAATGATTTTTACATGAATTACAAAATTCCAAAGTTAAAAAATCAAATTGTAACACTATACCAATTTTTAAGGCCTGATTGTAAGAAAACGGTTAATCTGACGGGAAATTTCAATAAAACCTTTTTTGTAGAGCATTCAATTTTCTTCAAAAAATATTTTTAAGTCAATTTTGTTAAACTCAATGGTTTGGGAGTTCTGAGACAAAAACTCTTTACAAAAAAATAGTCGATTTTTTTGTCCCAGTCTAATGTATATGCGGAGTACTAGTTTAACATTTTTGACAGGTCGTATAGCAGCCGGAGATGGCCGATTCAACACGAATTCCGAGGTGAACATCAACACGGAAGTAAAAAGCATCCCCGTCACCAAAAAAGGCGTGTACTTTGCTTTCAGAGACCAAGGTGCTTGCATCTCTCTCTTGGCCATAAAAGTAGGTTTTTTCGTACATTTTAGTGGACTATTTTAAGGTTTGATTATTTTTTAGATTTATTACATAACTTGCCCGGAAGTGACCATCAATTTCGCGCGGTTTCCGGCCACACCCACTGGAAAGGAGATCACAATTATAGAGCAAGCCCAAGGTACTTGTGTGAGCAATGCTGAAATGGTGGGTGGTACCCCTACATATCTATGTAAGGGGGATGGTAAATGGACCTTACCAACCTACGGTTGCAAATGTAAGGCTGGGTTCCAACCTGACATGGATAAACAAACATGCAATGGTAAGTGCATAATAAAATAAACAATATAATGGGGTAGTTAAATTTTTTCTGACCTATACTTTTTATGGTTTTATTCAAGGCATTTTTTAATATTAAACATTTCTGTGAAATCAGAATTTCAATTGAGTTTACCGTTTTCGAGATATTTACAAAAAATATAAATTTTTATGACGTCACAAACCTCGCCATGTGACCAACATTCTAAGATTTCTATTGGTTGAAAATTACCCTGTTGTCAAATTGTCTTGTTAATGATTTCATTCGGTTATGTCAGAAAATACCCGAAGAGGTTATGTACAAATACTGTCACTGTCAGTTGAGTGAAAGATGGTCACCAAATTCATTAAGTACCTATCTTCCTTATTACGAGGTATCATATTACTGTTTGATATTTTAGAGTCCAAGATATATCTAAAAGAATATAAAGAACTAGGCATTATACTAATGAAATGCATTTACGACAAAATATGAATATAATTATAGGTACTTACTTTATTTGTTTAAAAGCTCCAATGTTCAATGTAACCAACCATTCCACAAGATTCCTCTGCTTTGGAGTCCGTTATTAATAAATCACTTATCTAATATCAATTACAAATAACATAACAATAACATTGATTTTCAATAATCTAAATTAAAAACAAAACATAACCCGAAAAAAAGAAACGTAAAAAAATCAATTCTTCTTCTTCTTCTCAACTAAAATTATAGATCAAGTGGTTTTAAAACTAAAATATTATAACGTGGCGCCATCTATCGTAAGAATCTTAAACTAAACACACTGGCAACCATAGAAAAAGCTGGGCAACGTTGTCAATAACCTAGTGACGTAATTAGGAGATTTTTTTTTGTAAATATCTCGAAAACGGTAAACTCAATTGAAATTCCGATTTCACAGAAATGTTTAAAATTACAAAACGCCTTGAATAAAACCATAAAAAGTATAGGACCTGTCAGAAAAAATTTAACTACCCCATTTGTATTATGAGTCATTCCAAATAAAAACACCAAATGGGGTGCGCTGCTTGATTTTTTATTTTGATAAAATCAAATTGAGGATGATCTTTTAGGTATCAAATATGAAAATCCGTTGCCGTTTTAATTTTTGGATTCTTTACTTTTAATCGGCACATTTTAGAAATCTGAAATCGTGTCAATTTCTTACTCTCTTATTATAATAGTGGGCAAGAACTTTTTTTCTGTGACAAATATTGAAATGATTTTAATTTTGTTTTACTGTTCAGTAAGTGTGTTTTCGATATAAATTATTATTTATTATCCAATTAGTTAATATCATAAAAGAATGGTAAACCACTAAAGATTCATAATAATTTGCCAATTTTTGTGATTTTTGTCTGGCTCCTGTGCCTATTCTACTAAATCTAGAAAGTTATTTTTTTTCAGGAATCAAGTACTTATACAATAGTTTCTAGACTATCATTTTCTTTATTAAAAAAAAATATTGAAACTTGATAATTCTTAAAATTAGTCAATTTTGCCCTCAGAAATCATTAGGTTGAGGAAAAAATAAAAATCTGAAACTTTCAGGAAATGTAGTCCCCACCTTCATCTTTACAGTCCAGTTAGTCTTGTTTTGCTATTTTTATTCCTTTAAAAGATATATTAATTTTTTTAATGCCCGTTTAGTAACGATATTGTTAGTTTTATTTATAATTTAAAATTTAGATGTCTTTCATATTTGGTGGAGAAGTGTTTTTTGTCGGTTTCTTTCACAATTTAAACCAAGTTAGTCTTGTTCTATTATTTTGATCCCTTTAGTAAGGCTGAATAGTTAAAAGTTAAATGTATGTATTTTAAATGTTAGTGTTGGAAAAAAAATACACAATCTGTAAATACTTCTTTAAATTTTAGTTTTTAGGTAAATGGTTAAAATAAAACTTGTTATAATAAAGGGGTTTATTTAGAATATTTTTTGGTTTTTGCTTATTTTTAACAATTTAAAAACTTCTCAGAACTTGAATATTTTCTATGAGAAAAAGGTACAAAATTATGATATGTTCTTGCATTTTTAATTGCAATTAAATTCATGAATCTCGAACATTTATTACACTTGCAAACTTGCAAACTTTTTGAAATCACAATTTAAATACGCGCAAATAATATTTATGAAATATTTTTGACAGTTCTGACATTTCTCTACCAAACATGAATTGACTAACTCAAAGCCATCTAAATTTTAAATTATAAATAAAACTAACAATATCGCTTCTTAACTGCATTAAAAAAATTATTATATCTTTTACATGGATAAAAATAACAAAACAAAACTAACTAGACTGAAAAGATGAAGGTGGGGACTACATTTCCTGAAAGTTTAAGATTTTTATTTTTTCCTCAACATAATGATTTCTGAGGGCAAAATTGGCTAAATTTGAAAATTATCAAGTTTCAATAAGTTTTTTAATAAAGAAAATGATGGTCTAGAAACTTAAAATAATAGTTACGTTTTCTATTGTATAAGTACTTGATACCTGAAAAAAAGCAACTTTCTAGATTTAGCAGAATAGGCACAGGAGCCAGACAAAAATCATAAAAATTGGCAAATTATTACAAATCTTTACCATTCTTTTATGAGATGAACTAATTAGATAATAATAAATAATATTAAAAACATACTTACTAGGCAGTAAAATAAAATTACAATCATTTCAATAATTGCCACAGAAAAAAAGTTTTAGCCTCTTATAAGAAAGTAAGAAAATGACACGATTTCAGGTTTCTAAAGGGTGCCGATTAAAAATAAAGCAACTAAAAATTAAAAAGGCAACGGTTTTTCATATATGATACCTAAGAGATCATCCTCAAATTTTTTCAATAAAATAAAAAATCATGCAGCGCACTTTTAAATTCATTTTTGGTGTTTTCATTTGGATTGACTCTTACATTAAATTTTTTTTTTAGTTTGTCAACCTGAAACTTATAAGGCCGAAACAGGCGATGGGCCATGTCTACCATGCCCAGAACACTCAGTAGGTAGGGACTACGGTCTCACAGAGTGTAGATGCAACAGCGGTTACTACAGATCGCCAACGGACCCTAAAAATATGTCTTGCACTCGTAAGTTTTTACACCATCTCACTTTTTATTTAACTGTGTATATTTTTTTACTTTAGAGCCTCCGTCGGCCCCTCAAAACTTAACGGTGACTTTCGTGGATCAATCTCACGTCACCTTGAGTTGGTTACCACCAGATAATTTGGGTGGCAGAACTGATATTGTGTACAGAATAAAATGCGACGCCTGCGTACATGGTTTGGTTCAATATCACCCCTCAACAGTAAGTTTTTAGTACTTACTTATTATTATTATTATTATTATGAATTTTTAGGACACCTTTAACGAAACCAGAGTCTCCATTGGTGGCCTAAACGCTGTCACAACATACAGATTCCAAATATTTGCCGAAAATGGTGTATCCCAGCTAGTAACAAGAGCTAATATGAACTATGCAGATATAGCAGTAACTACAGAGGCCAGTGTGTCTAGTAACATACCAAATGTTAGGGTTTTATCTGTCAAAAGTACCGAAATTACTTTGGCATGGGATGCACCTACAAATAATGATAATTTGGACATGGAAAATGACTACGTTGAGTCGTATGAGGTGATATATTATATTTTTGTTTTGATATTATTGAATTGATATATAATTCATTATTTTTTTAGGTTCGATGGTATGTTAAAAATGACGTCGACCACAATTCGACAAGCATTTTGACCTCCGACTTGAAATTAACAATTATGGACTTAAATCAAAGGACTGAGTATGGAGTTCAAGTGAGAGCTAAAACCGCCAACGGCTGGGGAGATTATTCACCTGTTATTTACAAGACTACTGGGCAGGTTTTGAACACCGGTAAGTTTAGAACATTTTCCTATATTTTCAGGAAAATGTTCCACTTAGTTGGAACATTTTCAGAACATTTTCCGCTATATTGGAACATTTTCCCCATTTTCGGAAAATGTTCCCTTTTTTATGGCACGCCGTTTTAACATTTAATAAATAATTTTTTAATTTAAAATTTACTGACTAACATAATTATATTATAATTTATTTGGGTAGAATTTTTTAAATCTTAAATAAATATTTTATAAAATTATTAGTTAAATTTTTTAGCATTTAAAAATAGTGTCGAGGCATTTAAAATATTGGTTTTTAAAAATTTTAGTTTTAATATTTTATTTTACAAAATTATTGGTTTAAATTTATAAAGATTCATTTAAATGATAGTCGATAAATTTGTAATTCTCACATTACATTTAAATGCTAGTTTTAAATTTTAAAGTGGTAATTTTTGTATTAAAAAATTATCATTTAAATGACTCTTCGCAAATTTAAACCGATAATTTTGTAGAATAAAATATTTTAACCATCATTTTTAAAAATCAATATGTTTAAGCTTAAAGTTTAATAGTTTTATTTTATATTTAAAATATTTTTTGACTATCATTTGTTTTGAGTTTAAAAAAATTTAATCCTCAAACTATTATCCAATAAATGCTAAAACGGCGTGCCATACTAATAATAATAATAATAATAATAATAATAATTATAAATTTATAAAAAAACATTTTTGTATATAAAAAACTTCTATAGAGATTTTGAACATTGGGAAGTTTGGAAAATTTTCCAAAATTTTTGAAAATGTTCCAATACACGGGAACATTTTTCCCATTTATAGAAAAACAAAATACAAGACCACTGGTCACGTTTTGAACATGTGAAACATTTTCCTATATTTTTAGGAAAATGTTCTATTTTGGAACATTTTCCTGCATGTTTAGAAAATTTTCCGTTATATTGGAACATTTTCCTAATTTTTTTGGAAAATGTTCCTTTATACGTGAACATTTTCCCTATTTTAGGAAAATGTTCCCTTATTATAACAAACATTTTTCAGCTTACAGCCACGATGCCGAAGGTTTTAGAATACAACTAGTGGCGGGGGGGTATAGTGGCAGTAGTAGTAATACTAGTTGGCGTTATTGTTCTTACGGTGGTATTCCTGAGGTCCAGAACAAATGACGAATGTAACAAAAAACAACCGAGCGATTGCGACACTTTGGAATACAGAAACGGCGAAGGTATGTTATATTTTTATAATAATAATAATATAAACACTGAACTACAAGATTAAAAATGTAAAAATATGACTAAAATAGTGGCTTGACTAGAGAGCACATTAGTTAACCTAATATTAGAGAACCTTCTCGTAATATATGTTAAATGTAAGAAACGCTTGTCAAACAAAATTATTTGACTAGTAATATTTTTCTTACCCTATCTATAACACCTTTAATTTTTTCACGCCCCTTTTTCACGAATACCCAGGATTGGTAGTCACGTACAGTAAGTGTTATTTGTGTATTTTTTTTGTTTTCGAATGTTTTTTGTGTATTTTTTGTGCTTTGTTTTTACGTATGTATCATTTGTTTTTGTTTTTTTACAGTCCACCCCTTAGACAATCCTCCTATAGTAACAACCCATACAAATGGTAATTTGTTTTTCGTTTAAAGCGTTTTTGGAGACTTTTGTATTTTTCTTATAAATCTTGAAACTTAAAGTGGTTTAGAAAATGTTCCAACGTTTTAGATCATGTTCCAGTTTTTAAGATCATGTTCCAAAGTGTTTAATGGAAGTTTTAACATTTTAAATAATGATTTAGAAAATGTTCCATCAAATTTTAGAACATTTTAGATCATGTTCCAGTTTTTTTAGATCATGTTCCAAAGTGTTTAATGAAAGTTTTAACATTTTAAATAATGATTTAGAAAATGTTGCATCAAATTTTAGAACATTTTAGATCATGTTCCAATTTTTTTAGATCATGTTTCAAAGTGTTTAATGGAAGTTTTAACATTTTAAATAATGGTTTAGAAAATGTTGCATCAAATTTTAGAACATTTTAGATCATGTTCCCAATTTATTCGTGAACACTGTTTTAAGAAAATTTATAGGAAGAATATAAAAGTTTGAAACTTGAACTATGTTTGGGGTAGTTCCACATGTTTTCGTATAATTTTAGTGACCACACCTCTATTTACCGGAATCAGCGGTTCCTCGAGAACCTACATTGACCCGCATACCTACGAAGACCCTAACCAAGCCGTAAAAGAATTCGCTAGGGAAATCGATGCAAGTTATATAACAATCGAAGCTATAATTGGCGGTGGTGAATTCGGAGACGTTTGCAAGGGGAAGCTTAAAATAAATGGCGTTGATATCGATGTTGCTATAAAAACTCTTAAAGCTGGGTCCTTGGACAAATCCAGAAACGATTTTCTCACCGAAGCTTCGATAATGGGACAATTCGAACACCCAAATGTAATTTTCTTGCAAGGTGTAGTGACCAAGTCCAACCCAGTAATGATTATTACAGAGTACATGGAAAACGGTTCCCTCGATACATTTTTACGAGTAAGTGTTTTTAGATTAATGTTTGTTCTACAAATTAATAACTTTTCAACTTTTTTAGGCAAACGATGGCAAATTCCAAGTTATCCAGCTCACAGGCATGCTACGAGGCATCGCATCCGGTATGCAATACCTAGCCGAAATGAATTACGTCCATCGAGACCTTGCAGCAAGAAATGTTCTCGTCAACTCGCAGTTGGTTTGCAAAATTGCTGACTTCGGTCTAAGTAGAGAAATCGAGAGTGCCACAGAGGGAGCTTACACTACACGAGTAAGTAGAGCATCGGAAAATAATAAGGAAACATTTTCCCACGTTTGCGGAAAATGTTTCCCCATTCGGGAACATTTTCCTAAGTTTTCGGAAAATGTTCCCCGTTCGGGAACATTTTCCTTTATTTTCGGAAAATGTTCCCTTACTTAACATCGGTTCTTATTTTTCAGGGGGGCAAAATTCCGGTAAGATGGACAGCCCCCGAGGCAATAGCTTTCAGGAAGTTCACTTCCGCATCGGACGTATGGTCCATGGGTATAGTTTGTTGGGAGGTTATGTCGTATGGTGAAAGGCCGTATTGGAACTGGTCCAATCAAGACGTAATAAAGAGTATAGAAAAGGGATACAGGTAAGCTACATTAATTTAATTTTAAATAAGTCTTAAGAAGATTTTTAAATTTTTACATTTTTTATTACATATTTCATTATTTTAAAACATGTTCCTTTACTCTTATAACATTTTCTGTTATTTTATGAAATGTTCCATATTTAAAAAAATTAACAATTTAAAAAATAATAAAAATCCTGTATCTTTAGATCAAGTATTTTTATTTTAGAACATTTTCCTGTAAAAAATATTCCGCATTTAAGAAATGAGAAATAATAATTTAGACTTTTTTAGTTGTACTTTTTAGTTTAATTTTAAAGAAGTCTTTGGAACATGTTTTATAATAATTATATTATGTTTTAAAGTTTAAACCACATTTTTCAAATTTATAGAACATTTTATATTATGTTTTATTATCCGATATTTTTGAATCAAGTTTCTTTATTTTAGAACATTTTCCTGTACTTTTAAAATTTCCGTTATTTTAGGAAAATGATCCTTATTTAAGAAACATTTAAAACAATTTTGACTTTCTTGTTTTGTTTTCTTCGGAGTTAAATTTGTCTTTAGAACATATTCTAAATACTAATTAAATTATGTTTAAAAGTTTTAAAACTATGTATTTTCTTAATTTTTAGAACATGTTCCATTATTTTAGAACATTTTTCTGTACATTTATAGCATTTTCCGTACATTTAGAGCATGCTTTGTTATTTTTGGAAATGTTCCTAGTTAAAAAATAATATAATAATAATTTAGACAAATTTTTACTTCTTTAATTCTACTTTCTTAATTTGACTTTAAATAAGTCTTTAATGGCAAATGTCCTTGTGTTTTAAAGTTTTAAAAACATTTATATATTTATAGAACATTTTTTATTATTTTAGGAAAAAATATTGTGTTTTAAGAACATGTAAAATATTAAATTAGACACATTTTTTTACATCTTTAATTTGATTTAAAAAAGTTTTATACGAATTATAAATTGTTATAAGTTTAAATACATTTTTCATTTTTAATTTTTTATTATTTTTTAACATTATTCTGTAATTTTAGAACAAGTTTCTTTATTTTGGAACGTTTTCCTGTACTTCTAGAATAAGTTCCATTATTTTAGGAAATATTCCGTAATTAAGAAATGTAAAATAATAACTTCGACAAATTTTAACTTTTATTGTTTTTCTTAGAAGTCTTTAAAACCTATTTCATACTATATGTTGCTTTTTAGTTTAAATAACATTTTCCAAATTTATAAAACATTTTTAATTATTTTTTAATATAATCCTGTGTTTTTAGATCAAGTTCCTTTATTTTAGAACATTTTCCTGTACTTTTAGAACAAGTTCCGTTATTTTAGGAAATGTTCCTTATTTAAGAAATGTAAAATAATAATTTAAATAAATTTTGTTTTTTAGTTACAAGTACTTTTTAATTTAATTTGGTACATATTTCAAACGAATTAGGTATATTGTTTCAAAGCTTAAATAACATTTTCTAAATTTAAAGAATATTTTTCATTATTTTATTTTAGATCATGTTCCTATACTAATTATATTGTTTTTCAAAGTTTTAAAAACACTTCTCAAATGTTTAAAACATATTTATTGCTTCGGAACATTTTCCCGTATTTTTAGAACATGTTCCGTGATTTTAGAAAATGTTCCAAATTTTAACTTTTTTTGTTTTTCCTTCTTAGATTGCCAGCTCCGATGGACTGCCCCGAAGCCATTTACCAACTGATGCTGGACTGCTGGCAAAAAGAAAGAACACACAGGCCGTCTTTCCAATCCATAGTTAAAACTCTAGATAAATTAATAAGAGTACCGGAAACCTTGAGGAAAATAGCGCAAAATCGGTAAATATAAAGCAAAATTTTGCATGCTTAACATCACTTGCCTACACACGCTTTATACTTTAATTAATGTCGTTTTTATTGATTAATTCAAAGAGATTATGATCGCGAATATAAAAAGACAAAATGAACACTTTATACACTGTAAAATTAGATTTAGTTAGTATTTAGATTTTTGAAAAAAGTAGGTACAATGGCGGTTAATAATGGACCGATTTTGGATCTGTTTGCATCATAGCGAAGTTGATTTGTCGTTTTATGTTCGCGTGCTGATTCATCACAAAAAAAAAATTATCGTAACAAGAGTCATTTCTTATGTTTCTTCCCTGTGCAATTTTAGCTCGCCCTTTCCGTACTCCTGTCAGCTAGACGCGGCGCCTTTGTCGGACAATGCGACGTTGCAGCGACGTGCGGCAACGTCGCGCAGTAAATCGTCGGGTTTCGGGTCGTTGCAGCGCAGAAATAATCACACGTACAGGCCGAACATAACCGACAATCCGCCTTACAACGCGTACGGGTTGCCGGATGTAATAAAATATGGCATTGAGGAGGGCGGGAGTGATTACTTGAACGCCGTGGTCAACCACGAGTTGAAACGGAGGTTCAGTAGTTTGCTGAACATCAGGGAGGAAAGTAAGATGTTCGAAGGGCCGGTTAAAGAGCTGAACACCGACTCTTGGGCGTGCACGATGAACCGGGGGAATCCCAAGGAGTTGCACGCGCAGCTGCGGCAGTACTACACGAAAAAACGCGCCCCCAAACTTCTTCGACGACGTGGAGAACTTCGAGACCGACCCGGAGGCTCTGAAGCAACGTTTTTACCTGCAAAACTTACCAGGAGATAGACCTCCCAGTAGACGATCGAAACTGAACCTCTACGACACGTTCGAGCTGCAAAACGCGCGTCACCTGTCGAACATCCACGAGTACGAGCCGGCAACGTCGCATACGTCCGACCTTGGCGCCCACATGACAAACGATGACGACACCCGCCAATTCGATGGACAAGATAGGGCTTGGGTGCATTTTAACAACCTTTAAAAATCTAAAAATAAAATCACATTCCATCCCCCGAAACGCTTCATGTGTTTGCCTAGGTATTTTATTACGCTTTTTATTTTATTATTAATTATTAACTCTCTCTTCGTTGGTAGTGGAATGCGTAGCTTTCTGTCCCACGTAACGAAAGGTTGTGGTTTGTGAATGCAGAAAATGTTACAATAATATAAATCAAATTACAAAGTTTTAAGAACATTAGAACATATTCTTAAATTTTAGATAATGTTCTAAAGTCTGTAAAACATTTTAAATTGTGTTTTAAAATGTTAAGATATTTGAATCGCCTTTTAAAAATTTTACAAGCGCCTAAAAAACCTCCAAATATTTTAGATCATGTTCTAAAGTTTTGAATATGTTTTGGAGTCTAATAATATTTCTGTATTATAAATCAAATTCCAAAGTTTTAAGAACATTTTAAAAAGGGTTTAGAACATATTCTTAAATTTTAGATAATGTTCTAAAGTCTGTAAAACATTTTAAATTCTGTTTTAAAATGTTTAGATATTTGAATCGCCTGTTTAAAAAATTTACAAGCGACTACAAAATGCCCAAATATTTTAGATCATGTTCTAAACTTTTGTAGTCTAATAATATTTCTGAATCATATTTCAAATTTTTAAAACAAGATTTTTAGAACATATTCGTAAATGTTTGAAAAATTTTCCAACTTTTTTATTCGCGTTCTACATTACGTAAAATCGTGTTCCTTTCAGAACATGTTTTTTACAGTTTAAACCGTATTTCAAAATATTTGGTGTTTAGGACAATTTTCATTTAGTTTTAGACTGCTCCAAATGTTTAGTGTTTAAAAGAAATGTTTTTCCATTAAATTAGACTTTTTCGTGTTTGAAAGGAATTAAAACATATTTAAAGTATTTTTTGGACATTTTAATACATTTTTAGATTTTAAATAATTTTGACAATGTTTGGAGATTTTAGATCATGTTCCGAAAGTTTAGAAAATTCCCTGTGTAATTTATACAATGTTTTAATGCTTCCGTTAATAATAAAAAGTTTGATAACATGTTCCAGAGTCCTTTAGAACATGTTCCAGAGTCTTTAGAAGATGTTCCATGATGTTAAAGAATGTTAATATTTTAAAACAAGTTTCGAGATTATTAGAAAATTTTTTTAGACTTTAAAAAACTGTAACAATTTAAATATTTAGACAATGTTCCTTATTTTAAAGAATTGGGAACCTTCTTTAAGTAGTTTTTGGACATTTTAATACCATATTTTTTTATTTTAATTAATTCAGACAATGATTAAAAAATGTTTCGTGTTTAATGCTACTGATAATAATATGAAGTTTAATAGCATGTTTCGACTATTCAATAAAAACATTCAATTTACACGTTTTTCAAAAATTTTAGAACATGTTTTAACAGTTTTGATCAGACCAATTTTATAAGGGGTTTAAATTATTTTTAGATATTAATTTTTTAAGATTATAAATTATGTTCCGTTCTACCAATATTAATATAAAGTTCAATACCATGTTCCAAAGTCTTTAGAACATGTTTTGTAATATTCAAGAATTTTAACATTTTAAACAAGTTTCGAGAATCTGTTTATTAACAATTTAAATATTTAGACAATGTTCCGTATTTAAAAAAAATTGGGAACATAGGTACTTTAAGTAATTTTTTGACATTTTTAATATCAATACTTAGATTTTAAATCATTTAGGCAATGTTTTAAGGTTCTAAATTATGTTCCAAAGGCTTAGAAAATGTTCCGGGTTTAATGCTACCGATTTGAATATAAAATAAAGTTAAATAACTACAATTCAATAAAAATATTCCATTTACTCGTATTCCCCAAATATTTAGAACATATTTATTTTTAAAACGGATTTTTACATATTTTAACAGTATAATTTGTGTTTTAAAGTAAAGAAATTTTAATATTTTAAAAGAAGTTTTATCATTTTGTTGGGTTTAAAAAAACCGGTTTAACAATTGAAATTGTTTAGACAATGTTCCGTATTTTTAAGATTTTTTCCTTTGATTTTGGACATTTTATTCAGAAAATTCTAAATTTTTGATCATGTTCCGAAAGTTTAAAAAATGTTTCAACAACATAGTTTTGCGTTTTTAACAATTTAAATTATTTAGACAATGTTCCGTATTTTAAAGGATTGGGAACATATTTCAAGTAGGTTTTTGAAATTTTAATACCATATGTCTTTTTATAGGATGTTTAAATTATTTTCAACATAATTTGTGTTTTTATAGTAAAAGACAACGATTGAAATTTAAAGGATTTAAAAGATAAGTAGTTTTTTAACATTTTAGATCATGTTTTGAAAGTTTAGAAAATGTTCCACGTACCTAATGGTATAAATGTTTTAATGCTACGTCTTAGAAAATGTTCAGATTCTAAATTAATTTTATTTCAAATAATGTCACAGCAAAATGACAAGGTTTTACATTTTATTAAAAATCTAAAGAACTATTAAAGGTTTAATTTGATATGTTTTGTATTTTAAAGGTTTTTAATCATGTTTCAATATTTTCCATGGTATTAAAAATGTTCCGATTCTACGATTTAATAAAAACATTCCGTTCATTCGTATTAAAAAAGTTTATGTTTAACTTTGGACTTATTATTGTAACAACCACGACCTTTGTAGCAACTTTGTTCCCTTCTATTACTATTTCTCGTTTAATTAACCCGCATGCGATAATTTGTAAAGGTTTTTTGGCTTAACTTTACACAAACTGCACACACTAACTAACCAAATTTATACCGTTTTTGCCGCTTTCGATGTTCGATAATGCGCCTCTAAAATTATTCCATTTTTCCTCGTACCCTTTTATAGATGCGCGAACCCTCTATCGGCAGACGCGCCGGATCTGACGCAGTTCCAGTCCGTCGAAGAGTGGCTCAACTCCATCAAGATGGCCAGATACCTGCAAAACTTTCTCGAAGGCGGCTTCGATAACATGGACGCCGTCGTCAATTTGACCGTCAAAGAGCTGACCGAGGTCGGCATAACCCTCGTAGGCCATCAAAAGAAAATCATGAACTCTGTCCAAAACATAAGGGCGCAGCTGCGCGTAAACGGTGCCGAAGGATTTTTAGTGTAAGTAACAAAAAAAAACTGTGCGCGGTGCAAGGAATCGGCGTTTAGAAAATGTTCCAAGACTTTAGATCATGTTCCGGTATCTTTAGACAATGTTCCATTATCTTTAGATCATGTTCCATGATTTTAGACAATGTTCCAGATTTTCAGATAATGTTCCATTTTCTTTAGATCATGTTCCATGATTTTAGAAAAAGTTCCATTCTCTTTAGATCATGTTTTATGATTTTAGAAAATGTTCCATTATCTTTAGATCATGTTTCAGGATTTTAGGAAAGGTTCCATTATCTTTAGATCATGTTTCATGATTTTAGAAAATGTTCCATTATCTTTAAATCATGTTTCAGGATTTTAGGAAATGTTCCATTATCTTTAGATCATGTTCCATTAACTTTAGAAAATGTTCTATTATCTTTAGAAAATGTTCCGTTATCTTTAATCCATGTTTCATGATTTTAGAAAATGTTCCATTCTCTTTAGATCATGATTCATGCTTTTAGAAAATGTTACATTCTCTTTAAATCATGTTCCATGATTTTAGAAAATGTTCCATTATCTTTGGAAAATGTTCCATTATCTTTAGATAATGTTCCATGACTTTAGAAAATGTTCCGATTCTAAATGTCGTTGAAAGCATTCCCCGGTAGCAATATTTTGTTATTCATCCATGACAGAACATTGTCTAAACCCGTTTTTTCGAAACTCGACAAGATCGTGGACTCGAATAATAACTAAAAAGTGACTTAATTTATACTTAATGAAAAGCTTTATTTATTTAAATAAAAAAACGAACATAATCAAAAGGACTGTGCTGAAAAAAAACGGACTTAAAAGTGCAGTTATTATAATTTTTTGTGATCTAAAAATATTCTTTTTTAATAATATTATTTTTTGTACTATATTACTTCTACGACTAGATAAGTTTTTATTATTATTATTATATATTATGTACTTTTTGTATTTATTTTTTGTGTTTTATAATTTAATAGAAGTTATTTATTATGACACGTACTGATCATCGCAAAAATTAGACAATGTTCTCTGCGATTTTTAGTATACTTAAAGGAGTAACACCAAATTGTTTACGATTCGAAAAAAAGAGAGGTTTAATTAAATTAAAAGTGTTATATTTTTCACATATCATATTTGTTCTCTCTATTGTTATAATTTTTTTCGAAACTGAAATTTAAGAATACTAGATAGAAAATATATGTCTAGAATACTTATTCTAAAATAAAAAGGCTTCCAATGTGTGGGGTCGAGAATAATCCAAAAATAGCAATAATAAATAAATGTTTTTCGCTATATAATTATATATTTACTAGGAATTCGCCGAAAATAACCCGAAAAAAGTTTTAGATCATGTTCCAAAGTGTTTAGAACATGTTTTTTGCGCGTTTAAAATGGTTTTAGAGCATGTTCCAAAGGTTATGCGTTTTAGTTTGTTTTAAAGGTTTTAGATCATGTTGAAAACATTTTAGAAAATGTTCCCGTATTATATTCGACGTACAAATTTCACTTTTTGTCTCATTTTCGGTTATTTGAGGCGAATTTCGAGATACGTAGATTTGGACATTGTGGTGTAATATTTTTTAAGAGGCTCTAATTCTGCAATGTTCTCTTCTAAACGGAAAATAGAGTTAAACGAAGTGTACAATCTTTAAATTGTAAATGTACTTAATTTTTATATGCTCAAAATATTAAGGTAACGCCTAAATAATTCTATTACATTTTTTATAAATATATTTATAATCGACTGATAAATTTGTATACTTTAATCAATAAAATAGTTGATTTTATGAATTTTGTTGATTTTTGGGTAAAATTGCTTTTTGGTTGTTTTATTTAACACATTACAATACAATACAAGACTGCATTATATAGTTTTTATGATATTATGGTCCATATTTTTTACAATAATAACTCAACTAACTACAGAATACGCTTTTTTACAGTTACACTTAAATGAAAGTTGTTTACCCAAAATTATACATTTACAGTAATAAAAAAGTTACATGACATTAAATACGTTTTGCTTATAATAATTACCAAAGTATTAAACATAATTTTTATATAATTAATATTCTAAATTCAGTTAAAAGAGACTTCTAAAACCAGTACAAAATTTTGTAAAACACAAAACTATTTCCTGCCATGCAACTTTAACAAAACATTCCAGGTTATGTTGTATATTAATCCTATAGCAGCTATTTTCTTTATTTAACCCCCTTAAAAAAAAATAAAAAATTCATAAAAAATATTTTTCGTCTCATACATTCGTTGTTACACTACTTAAATAACTAGTGGATCAATGAAAAAAAAGAAATAATAGATTAATGGGACAAAAATTTGTGAAACTTGTGCACTTCTTGCACAATAAGTATACAAAAATATTTTTTGCGATATTTTGTTTGATTTTGTTTTTTTCTAGATGTGCGCCTACTTGTATGAATGTTTGTGAGAGTTGATTATTTGATGAGGGCAAAAAAATCCCCCGTAACATTATTAAACAAAAAAGTCCGTTTTTTGCCCTCGTCAGACATTTTTAATATTTCTTATACAAAATGATCTGTGTAAATTGTAATATATTTGTATCATATAAGGATATTCAATATAAAAAATAGCTTATTTATTGGATTTTTATTTCAAAAACAACTGCCTTACCTGTATTTTTCGTGTAGTCAATCATGTTTCAAAAGTACCAGATGAACTGTTTGGTAAAATTTTTTGGATTTTGTATTAAGATTGCAGAAAATCGAGAAGGTAGGTATAGCTCCTGATACAATGCAATGTTGCAATATTTCTCAAAAATACCAGATCAAGGTTATTTCTTAAAAATTAACCGTTTGGTAAAATTTTGCGATTTTTCGGATTTCGTATTAGGATCGCAGAAAAGCGAGGAGGTATGTCTCCTGATACAATGCAATGTTGCCTGATTTCTGAAAATACCAGATCATGGAAATTTCTTAAAAATTTCAACCATTTGTTAAACTTTGCTATTTTCGGATTTTGTATTAGGATCGCAGAAAAGCGAGGAGGTATTGCTCCTGATACAATGCAATGTTGACAGATTTCTGAAAAATACCAGATCCTGGTAATTTCTTAAAATTCAACCATTTGTGATTTTTGAATTTTGTATTAGGATTGCAGAATAGCGAGGAGGTATGGCTCCTGATACAATACAATGGTGCCAGATTTCTGAAAAATACATTTCCTGGTAATTTCACAAAATATCTTAAAAATTTGAAACATTCTTAAAATTTTGCGATTTTCGGATTTTGTATTAGGATCGCAGAAAAGCGAGGAGGTATAGCACCTGATACAATGCAATGTTGCCAGATTTCTGAAAAATACAATTTCCTGGTAATTTCATAAAATATCTTAAAAATTTGAACCATTCCTTAAAATTTTGCGATTTTCGGATTTTGTATTAGGATCGCAGAAAAGCGAGGAGGTATAACTCCTGATACAATGCAATGTTGCCAGATTTCTGAAAATACCAGATTTAGGTAATTTCTTAAAAATTTTAACCATTTGTTAAAATTTTGTGATTTTCGGATTTTGTACTAGGATCACAGAAAAGCGAGGAGGTATTGCTCCTAATACAATGCAATGTTGCCAGATTTCTGAAAAATACCAGATCATGGTAATTTCTTAAAAATTTCAACCATTTGTTAAATTTTGCTATTTTCGGATTTTGTATTAGGATCGCAGAAAAGCGAGGAGGTATTGCTCCTGATACAATGCAATGTTGCCAGATTTCTGAAAAATACCATTTCCTGGTAATTTCACAAAATATCTTAAAAATTTGAACCATTTCTTAAAATTTTGCGAGTTTCGGATTTTGTATTAGGATCGCAGAAAAGCGAGGAGGTATAGCACCTGATACAATGCATGTTGCCAGATTTCTGAAAAATACAATTTCCTAGTAATTTCATAAAATATCTTAAAAATTTGAACCATTTCTTAAAATTTTGCGATTTTCGGATTTTGTATTAGGATCGCAGAAAAGCGAGGAGGTATGTCTCCTGATACAATGCAATGTTGCCAGATTTCTGAAAAAAACCAGATCCTGGTAAATTCTTAAAAATTTCAACCTTTTGTTAAATTTTGCGATTTTCGGATTGTGTATTAGGATCGCAGAAAAGCGAGGAGGTATTGCTCCTGATACAATGCAATGTTGCCAGATTCTGAAAAATACCATTTCCTGGTAATTTCACAAAATATCTTAAAAATTTGAACCATTTCTTAAAATTTTTGCGATTTTTGAATTTTGTATTAGGATCGCAGAAAAGCGAGGAGGTATAGCACCTGATACAATGCAATGTTGCCAGATTTCTGAAAAATACCATTTCCTGGTAATTTCACAAAATATCTTAAAAATTTGAACCATTTCTTAAAATTTTGCGATTTTCGGATTTTGTATTAGGATCGCAGAAAAGCGAGGAGGTATTGCTCCTGATACAATGCATGTTGCCAGATTTCTGAAAAATACCAGATCCTGGTAAATTCTTAAAAATTTCAACCTTTTGTTAAAATTTTGCGATTTTCGGATTTTGTATTAGGATCGCAGAAAAGCGAGGAGGTATTACTCCTGATACCATGCAATGTTGCCAGATTTCTGAAAAATACCAGATCCTGGTAAATTCTTAAAAATTTCAACCTTTTGTTAAAATTTTGCGATTTTCGGATTTTGTATTAGGATCGCAGAAAAGCGAGGAGGTATTACTCCTGATACCATGCAATGTTGCCAGATTTCTGAGAAATACCAGATCCTGGTAATTTCTTAAAAATTTTAACCATTTGTTAAATTTTGCGATTTTCGAATTTTGTATTAGGATCGCAGAAAAGCGAGAAGGTATTACCCCCGATACAATGAAATGTTGCCAGATTTCTGAAAAATACCAGATCCTGGTAAATTCTTAAAAATTTAACCATTTGTTAAAATTTTGCGATTTTCGGATTTTGTATTAGGATCACAGAAAAGCGATGATGCAATGCAACGTTGCCAGATTTCTGAAAAATACCAGATACTGGTAATTTCTTAAAAAATCAACCATTTGTTAAAATTTTTGCGATTTTCGGATTTTGAATATCTCCTGATACAATGCAATGTTGCCAGATTTCTGAAAAAATACCAGATCCTGTAAATTTCTTCAAAATTTCAACCATTTTTTAAAATGGCCGATACAATGCAATGTTGCAAGATTTCTCCTATAAAGTTAACGAAGTTTAAGACAATAAAACAAATTATAATTCAAGTATAATATATATTTATTTTAATACTGTTTTTAAATATACAGTGCACAAAATAACTGTATACAAACGAAAAAAACTTTAAGGTATTAATTAGAACGAAAAAATAAATAAACATCGAAAAGTAAAACAAAAAGAAAAGTCACTCAAAATTATACAGACCTTAAAAACTAATATTATCAATTAATATGTTCGTGAAGATAATACAAAAATATTACTTTATAATAATAATAATTATTATTATTATTACAGCATGAGATCTTAGTAGTTTGTTAAACAAAAGAAAATTGTTTGTCGGGATCTTTTTATTGGTTAGATAGATAAATCAAGAAGAAATCTTATACCGGGTGTTTATTTTAACTAAGTATTACAGATCCCTGCATTTGTATGCATTATTTTAAAGCAAAAAAGAATACACTACAAAAAATCAATTTGTAGACATTATATATTGCATTGCTACATAATATTTTCCAATATTACATATTAAACTAACCGGCAAATTTTAGAATAAAAATACTGACTTCATTTATTTTTTTTTGTGTAGGTATTGCTAGATTTTTTTAGTACCCTTGATTTATTCCAAAATTTGCTTTACTAAATATATAAACTATCCACAAAAACAAGAACTTCACAAAAGTCAAAAACAGTTAAATCAAATTAGGCCCAAACTAGTATATAGATACATTTTTATTAGACTGGGCCAAAAAAATCGACTATTTTTTTTTGTAAAGTATATCGAAAATATTGTTTGGGGTGACAAAAAAAATTATTATTAAAAATAGTTGATTTTTTTGGCCCAGGCTAATTTTTATATACAGGGTGTCACGTTTTATACTGTTAAATAAATAAAAAAAACGATAATTTAAATAAAACTAACAACTCTAGTTATTGATGGTTATAACAGTGCTAAACACCCTGTATACTGTTAATAATCAAAAATACTTTACTACTTATGTTTATCGAACTTTTAAATTAATTTTAACAACTTAAAAAAAATATATGAGTAGTTAATTAATTTGTTATAGTTTGCAGTGTTTTTTTTTAGAAAATTAATCTTTGATATAAGTAAGACTAGGTAGGTATGGTGTTGTGTTTTTTGTGTTATATTATTAGTTAAACCTGAAATAAATAAATACAACGTTACCGTCAAAAGTAAAAATAAATTAAACTAAAAAGTACCAACCTTAATATTGACTAGCATATGTCCGAAAAAACCTTCTTGCACCAGATAAAAAAGGTTTTTTAAAGCGGGGTTTCCTTTCTCCAGTGAAAACTGTTGGTTTTGGTGCTGGGATTGTTTCCGGATGTGGATTTTCTCAAGTTTTGTGCTGCCGAATCCAAGCCGTTTTTAACGTTGGCAACGAGGCGTAAAGCGGGGTTCAGATTGGAAACCAAACCGTTTCGTTTTGGTTTTTGATTGCTGAAATAAGAAAAGTAATTCAAACCCAATCACATTTTCTTAAAAATCTCGTAAACTAGATAAAAAAATCAAATAACGAATAAAAAGTTACGAAAAACGTGAAAGAATGTCAAACCAAAAGACATGGTTAGACAACTTCTTAAAATCTCAAAAACCATCAACAATATTTTCTTCATATAAAAAATCTAAGAAACTACAAAAAACAAGGTTTTATTTGCTGCATCACTTTTAAAAATCAAATAAAAAATAAAAAAGTTACGGAAAGGTGAAAAAATGTCAAACCAAAAGACAAGATTCTACATTTTCGTAAAAATCTCAAGAACTATTAAAGACACAATTTTGATTTTTTTTAAAAACCAGATAAAACAAGGATTAATTTATTAATATATAAATCTTAAAAATTAAATGACAAATAAAAAAATTCCGAAAAGGTGAAAAAATGTCAGGGTTATACTTTATCTTAAAAATCTCAAAAACATAAAAGAAAATTTTAATATAAATTTTTTTAGATAAAACAAGGTTTAATTTCATATATAACTCTTAAAAATCCAGTAACAAATAAAAAAGTTACGGAGAGGAGAAAAAATGTCAAACCAAAATGGCAAGATTATACTTTACATTTTCTTAAAAATCTCAAAAACTATAAAAGCTAAAATTTTGGTAAAAATTTTTTAGAAACTAGATAAAACAAGGTTTAATTTGATATATCACTATTAAAAATCAAAAAACAAATAAAAAAGTTAAGGTTAAAGGTTCTACATTTTCTTAAAAATCTCAAAAACTAAAAACGATACAAATTGTTATAAATTACAAAATTTACAGAAAGGTCAAAAATGTCAAACCAAAATTACAATGTTATACATTTTCTTAAAAATCTTAAAAACTATAAGAGAAAATTTTCATATAAAATATATGACATCAAAATATTAGCACCTAAAGATTTTAAAAAGAAGATAAAATACGTTTTAACAAACCATTTGATGAATTTTTAAATTACTTTTAATATTTATTATTATTATTATATATAGATAAAACAAGGTTTAGCTTGATAAAAAATCAAATAAAAAAAATTAAGAAAAGTAAAAATTGTGAAACCAAAATGAAACATTTTTTTATAAATATCAAAAACTATAAGATATAATTTTTGCATGAAAATTGTTATAAACCAGATAAAATAAGGTTTAATAATTTGATATATCAATCTTGTAACAAATAAAGAGAGTTCCAAAAAGGTGAAAAAATGTCAAACCAAAAGACAAGGTTCACATTGTCTTAAAAATCTCAAAAACTATAAAGGATAAAATTTTAGTAAGAAAATTGTTAGAAACTAGATAAAACAAGGTTTTATTTGATATATCACTCTTAAAAAAGTTACAAAGTGGTGAAAAAATGTCAAATCTGAATACAACATTTTCTTAAAAATCTCAAAAACGATAAAAACGATAAAAATTGTTAAAAACTACAAAATTTACAGAAAGGTCAAAAAATGTCAAACCAAAATTACAAGTTATACATTTTTTTAAAAATCTCAAAACCTATTAAAGATAAAATTTTAATATAAAACTTGTTGGAAACTGGCTAAACCAAGGTTTAATTTTATATATCACTCTTAAAAATAAAAAAAACAAATACAAAAGTTTTGAAAAGGTAAAAAATGTCAAACCAAAGGACAAAATTTTACATTTTCTTAAAAATCTGAAAAGCCATTAAAGATAAAATTTTTGAATAAAAATTATTATAAACCAGATAAAACAAGGTTTAATTTGATATTGCACCTTTAAAAATCAAGTAACAAATAAAAAATTTAAGAAAAGGTGAACAAATGTCAAACCAAAAGACAAAACTTTACATTTTCTTGAAAATCTCAAAACCAATTAAAAATCAGATTTTAATATGAAAATTGTTAGGAAATGGATAAAACAAGGTTTAATTTGATATCACTCAATATAAAATTACGAAAATGTGAAAAAATGTCAAATGAAAATTTTAAGACAATATCCTACATTTTCTTAAAAATCTCAAAAAACATCAAAGACAAAATTTTAGTATAAAAATTGTTGGAAACTAAATAAAACAAGGTTTAATTTGATAAATCACTCCGAAAAATCAAGTAACAAATAAAAAAGTTACGATAAGGTGAAAAAATGTCAAAACAAAAGACAAGATTTGACATTTTCGTAAAAATCTCAAAAACTATCAAATTTATAAAATTTTGGGATAAAAAAACAAATAAAAAAGTTACAAAAATGTGAAACCAACAGACAAGGTACAACTTTTTATAAAAAATCTCAAAAACTATAAAATATGTAATTTTGTTATAATTATTTTTGAAAATTAGATGAAAAGTTTTATTTTGATGTATCACTTGCAAAAATTAAGTAACAAATAAAAAAGTTACGAAAAGGTGAAAAAGTATCAAACTAAAAGACAAAACATTTTCTTAAAATTCACATTAAAGATAAAATTTTAAAATATAAATTGTCGGAAACTTAATAAAACAAGGTTTAATTTGATGTACAACTTTAAAAATTAACAAACAAATAAAAAAGTTGAGAAAAGGTGAAAAAACAATAAAAGCAATATTTATATTTAAAAATCTCAAAAACCATCGAAGATCAAATTTTAATATAAAAATTGTTAGAACTAGATAAAACAAGGTTTAATTTGACATAAAACTCTTAGAAATCAAGTAACAAATAAAAAAGTTACGAAAATGCGAAAAAATGTCAAACCAAAAGAAAGATTCGACATTTTCGTAAAAATCTCAAAAACTATAAAACATACAATTTTGGTATGAAAATTGTTAAAAAGCAGATAAAACAAGGTTTAATTTGATATATCACTGTTAAAAATCAAATAACAAATAAAAAAGTAAACTGTATTATTTGACTTGTATACCATGTGTGTTAAATAAAAAAGTTACAAAAAGGTAAAATTCCACGCAATATTTTGACTTGAAAATTTATATAGTTAGTCATAAAAAAATCTCGAAAAAGCCCAAAAACTCCACACCGAACGACCCCTTAAGAAACACCGCGTAAAAGGCAAAATCAACTCACCTGCTTTTCGAGTTGCTGTTATCTGCATTGTTGTCAGATTTCTTGTCCGTTTTTGACCCGAACGCGGAAGAATTGCCCGAATTGCCCAAAATAATACGCATGTGCGTGTCACGGGCAAAATGCGTGTCCGGAGCTTTAGCAAAGTTGTTGTGACGCAAAACAGGTTGGTAAATATTCATTGCACCTAAAAAAAATTTTTTTTGATACTAAATATTTTAACACGTACTATGCTACACACCTCAAAGTCCCACCACGTGACCACGTACGGAACGCAGTCTTTTGAAAATTTGGCATTAAAGGCTTTTCAGGTTATGTATCTGTCAAAGTATATTCAATAAAAAAAATAATATTTATAGTGTTACTGCTTATGTTTAAGCGTTAAAAGTTAATAAATCTTTATAGTATCACAATAACAATGGTTGGCTTAAGAATTTAGGAATATAAATACTGCATTTAATGAAATTCCAAAGTGTAAGGTGCAATATAAGTGATATTTTTGTGCATTGGGTCTACATTTCTCCATAAAATAGTTTTAACTAAACAGGATTTATTAAAAAAAGCTTACTTCTCTATTATGAAATAAGAATATCTGTATCAAAGGTAGGTTAATGTATTAGAACAAAAAATATCATCTAATTTTGTATTTTAAGGTTAGAAAAATCTATTTTGACCAAAATAAATAAGTGGATTATTTGGAAGAGTGTGTTAATATGGTCATAAATAAATATAGGTATACTAAATAATTATATTAAGGAGATTCTTCTAAAGTAATAAGGCACTTCCCTGCTTGCATAATAAAACAAATACTAAATAATTGTTGAATATGGTTCAAATTAAATTGAAGCTTTTTCTTTTCTTCTAATGACAAAACTTGTGCATACCTCTCGGTATTAGATTATAAGAAAACAAACAATTTTTAGAGAATCTTGCAATGTGAAAATATTTAATACTCCCATGACATGTGATTTACTAAAATTTTTAAAGTTATAATGATTTTTCAATGTAGATCAAATTCAGTTGAAGCTTTTTAACTATTTGTATTGACAAAACTTTATATAGGTACACTTTAAGCTGGATAAGAAAAACTACCACATTTTTAAATACCATATTATACTGTCTTTTAAATAATCCAAAATACTTATTTATTTTGGTCAAAATAAATTTTTCTAACCTTAAAATTACAAAATTAGATGATATTTTTGTTATAATATATTAACCTACCTTTAATACGGATATTCTTATTCCATAATAAAGAAGCTAGATTTTTTTAAATAAATGCTGTTTAGTTAAAATTATTTTATGGAGAAAACCAGATATTTGGACCAAATGCACAAAAATATTACTTATTTGGCAACATAGGTACACTTTAAAATTTCATTAAATGCAGTATTTATATTCTTAAATTCTAAAACCATCCATTGTTATTGTAATGTTATAAAGATTTTATACATTTTTAACGCCTAAACATAATATTATTTCTTTCGTTGACTATACTTTGACAGATACATAACCTGAAAAGCCTTAAATGCCAAATTTTTAAAAGACTGCGTTCCGTACGTGGTCACGTGGTGGGACTTTGAGGTGTGGAGCATAGTACAAAAAAAATAAGTACTCACCAAATATATTGCTTGAAATGTCGTGGACCGGAGATAAAGGTGGGGATGCGTAAATGGGACTTTGCGGTTCACTTTGTAGGGGGGACAATAGTTTACTGAGGGGGCGCGTTTTTGCCCCCCTTGTGCATTGCTGTAGCTGTTGTGTAAATGACATTGGCTAAAAATAACAAAAAACAGTGTAATAATAACCTTTATCTCCATGCGGTCTATAATTTAAACTTTATTGTTGTCAACATTCGATAAAGTAATACCTTGTTATGGCCTAGGCCGATAAAAAATTTTATGAGGCAAGTAATTAGTTAGATTTTTTCTCGCTAGGGGTATTGTTTTGACAAATTAATAATTTTTTAAGAAATTAACGTACTAAACTGGTTTAATTTATTTTTAATAAGCATTAATTTGTTTGTTTTACTGTTAATGTTTAATATTTTTCATTAAATTATTGTAAAATTAAATATGAATAATAAAACAAAAAGTCAGGTTAGGCAACCAAGAAAACGCACGATTCTCTTTTTACGATTTAAATTATCTTTAAGTTTTAATTTGCTTTAAGTTTTCAGTGAAATTAAATGTTAAACACAGCTTAAACATTCCAAACTTCCTATTTTTTAAATAAAAATCCAAACAAATTGAAATTAGATACCTACCTATTTATTAAACAATTAATTGAATTCAATGTTATAGCAAAAATCCATTTCTACTTAAATCATGTTGCTAGGTATTGTCAAACTATTACCGCTTCTAAAAGCAATAATAATTATTGTACATTTAATGTAATCTTTAGCTAATAAATAAATGAGATTCTAAAAAAGTGAGGTTAGGCCGCTTTGATGTTGAATTAAATTGACCTATATAAACTGCTTTGAAGATAAAATGTTGTATGCCATTCGGCCAAGAAGCCTTACTTCTTAACCAAATGACATAAATACAAACTATTATCCTACCAAAAAGTACGCCACTGATCGACTAGGAACTTCAGGCTAATCTGGTTGCCTAACTTAATTAATAGTAAACAGAAAGAAAAAAACCGATGAAAAAATTAATTTTGTGCTTATGGAGTTTTTAAAATAGGAAGGGTAAAGTAGTCAGTTTATAGATATTGGACAATTAACATTAATACTGTAAAAACAAAAGTTCTATAAATAGTTACCTTAAAGTCAAATCATTAGATGGCGCTGTATACAATTATAAATATCTCGGTAGGTTATAAAACAGAACTACTTTATTTTGGGTCCAATGTAGGACAAAAAAGTTCGCACGTTACTTTGGTGGTAAGATTTTTGGTTTTTTTGTTAAGAGCAGGGATGTGTTTAAATTACAATAAAAAATGTCTCTAAAAAGTGTACAGATCAGTGTGTGGTATAAATGTGTTCCTCTTGGTTTAAACATTGTCACTTTAATGCGTTTTAATTTTAATTCTGAATACAAACAGTAAAATGGCCAATTACTGGTTGGTAAAAAATGTAAATTTCTATTATTGGACATATGTCCAATATAATACTCTATTTGTATCCCGGACATTTACCAGCCAATTCTTATGTAAAATTGTCCCCTGAATGCGAAAAGACCGTCAAAAACTATAAAAGTTAAGCAGTTTTTCAGAAATAGTCAATTTCATATTAAATGTAAAATTTATTATATTTCAAAAACTGTTTTACTTTTATAACTTTTGACGACATTTTCGGATTCAGCGAATAATATTTCATAGGAATTGACTGCTAAATGTCCTGGATACAAACTGTCGACGAGAATTATTAGTGGCTGCTTTTTCGCTATGACATTTTTGACAAATTCATTTTTAGAGAGTAAGTTATATAGTGATTTCTTCGTCACAGGACATCTTGCAGAATAACAGTGTTGATAGAGAACATAAAAACTAATGGCAACAAAATTAATAAATTCGGAAAATATGTTTAACATACCACCCGAAAAAATATTAGATATGTATAAATCATCCTGTTCCTGCCTAAACATTATAAATGCTTCACAAACTAGAGATACCACACTTAATGATATTTGCAACAAACTATTTCAGAAGTCAGACCAAGGAATTAGTAGTTACCTTCAGAGTCCAGAAAAGGGATGAGGAATCCGAGAAAGAAATATATGAATTATATGATATTTACAAAGACGAAATAAAAAAAATTACCTAAAACAGCAATTTATCTTTAAAAATAACTATGGTCCATGTGTCCAATTACTATATAAAATGTCCAATTACTATACTTTTTTGCATGTTTTTATAAAACTAATAATAAAAATTCAAATATTCTTATTTTTAAGTAAACGTAAATAAAGTTTAAACAAACTATCCTTTTTATATATTTATAAGGAAAAAACTAAAATCTTTTAAACAACTATGTGGTTTACTACTAAATTTTCTAATCATTGCTTAAGCTAATAGCTGGATGAGTAAATAAATACAGAAGGGTATTAGAGCTTTAAGGGCATACAACTTTTGTATTTATTGATTTTTTATTTATTTTTTGCCAGAAAAATTTTTAGTTAAATTTTTTACATCTGACAACGCGCAGCTACTTTGTTGGTTGGTATCTATGTACTCACACAACACAAGTGCATATTTTTTCTTTATCTTTGGGAAAATATTACATTAATTACGTAACACCTTGTATATGGATTTGTCCGGTTTTGAAACTCACTCACCTGTGTATTTTGCGCGTTTTCTCCTCTTTGTCGGTCACCATGGCGACTAGAATGACTCGAATTCGTCAAGTTTGAACTGGATTTAGAGTTGGAACTGTGATTTCCTAAAGAAATAGTTGAACGACGTTGGTGTTCGGGCCATTCCGAAGAGCCTGGGTATAATACGGCGCACGATGGTTTTGTTTCCGCAGTTGATGCTTGAAATAGATAAAATTACCTTTGATTTGATGTACTATACATTAAAATTGACAAACAAATAAGAAAGTTTCAAAAAGGTGAAAATTTTTTAAACCAAAATGACATTTTCTTAAAAATCTCATAAACTATAAAAGATACAATTTTAGTATGAAACTGGTTAGAAACTAAATAAAGCAAGGTTGAATTTGATATATCACTCTTAAAAATCAAATGACAAATAAAAAAGTTACGAAAAGGTGAAAAAATGTGAAATCAAAAAGACAAGATCCTACATTTTCTTAAAAATTTCAAAAAACATCAAAGATGAAATTGTAGTGTAAAAATTGTTAGTAACTAAATAAAACAAGGTTTAATTTAATATATCACTTTTAAAAATCAAATGCAAATAAAAAAATTACGAAAAGGTGAAAAATGTCAAACTAAAATGACAACAATATATATTTTCTTACAAATCTCAAAAACTATCAAAAATTTAATTTTGCTATAAAAAAATTGTTTACAACTAGATAAAACAAGGTTTAATTTGATATATAACTCTTAAAAACAACAATCAAACAAAAAGGTGAAAAAATGTCAAACCAAAATGACAAGATTTTGCAATTTCTTTCTATTCACTTTACAATTTTGCTATAAAAATTGTTTTTAAATTAAATAAAACAAGGTTTAATTTGAAATATCACTCTTAAAAATAAAATTACAAATAAAAAAGTTATGAAAAGATGAAAAAATGTCAAATCAAAATTTTAGAGTAAAAATTGTTAGAAACTAGATAAAACAAAGTTTAATTTAATGTACTACTCTTAAAAATCAAATATAAAAGTTACGAAAAGGTAAAAAAAGGTAAAATCAAAATGACAAGGTTCCACATTTTCTTAAAAATCTCAAAAACCATCAAAGATAAAATTTTGGTATGAAATTTCTTCTAAACTACGTAAAACAAGGTTTAATTTTATATTTCACTCTTAAAAATCAAATGACAAATAAAAAGTTCAAGTCAAATCAAAATGACGAGGTTCTACATTTTCTTAAAAATCATAAAAACCATCAAAGAAAAAAATTTAGAATAGATATTGTTAGAAACTAAATAAAAAAAAGGTTTATATATCACTCCTAAAAATCAAGTAACAAATAAAAAAGTTACGGAAGCGTGAAAAAATGTCAAACCAAAGAAAAGGTCCTACATTTACTTAAAGATCTCAAAATCTATAAAAGATAAAATTTTAGTATTAAAATTGTTACAAACTAAATAAAACAAGGTTTAATTTGATATAATACTCTTAAAAATCAAAAAACAAATAAAAAAGTTACAAAGTGGTGAAAAAATGTCAAACCAAAAGACAAGGTTCCACATTTTCTTAAAAATTTCAAAAACCATCAAACATAAAATTTTGGTATGAAAATTTTTCAACACTACATAAAACAAGGTTTAATTTGATATTTAACTCTTAAAAATCCAATGACAAATAAAAAAGTTACGAAAAAGGAAAAAAATGTCAAACCAAAATGACAATGACATTTTCTTAAAAATCTCAAAAACCATCAAAGATAAAATTTTAGTAAGAAAACTGTTAAAAACTAGATAAAACAAGGTTTAATTTAATGTATAACTCGTAAAAATCAAATAACAAATAAAAAAGTTACAAAGTGGTGAAAAAATGTCAAACCATAAGACAAGGTTCCACATTTTCTTAAAAATCTCAAAAACCATCAAAGAAAAAATTTTAGTATAAAAATGTTAGAAACTAGATAAAACAAGGTTTAATTTGATATATCACTCTTAAAAATCAAATAACAAATAAAAAAGTTACAAAGTGGTGAAAAAATGTCAAACCAAAATGACAAGATTATACATTTTTTTTACAAATCTCAAAAACAATCAAAGATAAAATTTTTGTATGAAAATTGCTCAAAACTAGATAATCCAAGGTTTAATTTGATATTTCACTCTTAAAAATCAAATTACAAAAGAAGAAAAAATGAAAAAATATTAAAAATTACTAATTAGTTTCTACATTTTCTAAAAAATCTCATAAAAGAAAAAAATTAAGTATAGACATTGTTAAAAACTAGATAAAACAAGGTTTAATTTGATATTTCACTCTTAAAAATCAAATGACAAATAAAAAAGTTACGAAAAGGTGAAAAAATGTCAAATCAAAATGACAAGGTTCTACATTTTCATAAAAATGTCAAAAACTATTAAAGATAAAATTTTGGTATGAAAATTGTTAGAAACTAGATAAAACAAGGTTTAATTTGATATATTACTCTTAAAAATCAAATAACAAATAAAAAAGTTACAAAGTGGTGAAAAAATGTCAAACCAAAAGACAAGGTTCTACATTTTCTTAAAAAACTCAAAAACTATAAACGATAAAATTTTAGTATGAAAATTGTTGGAAACTAGATAAAGTAAGGTTTAATTTGATATATCACTCTTAAAAATCAAATAACAAATAAAAAAGTTACAAAGTGGTGAAAAAATGTCAAACCATAAGACAAGGTTCTACATTTTCTTAAAAAACTCAAAAACCATCAAAGATAAAATGTTGGTATAAACATTTATAAAAACTAGAAAAAACAAGGTTTAATTTGATATATCACTCTTAAAAATCAAATAACAAATAAAAAAGTTACAAAGTGGTGAAAAAATGTCCACATTTTCTTAAAAATCTCAAAAACCATCAAAGATAAAATTTTGGTAAGAAAATTGTTCAAAAGTACATAAAACAAGGTTTAATTTGATATTTAACTCTTAAAAATCAAATGACAAATAAAAAAGTTACGAAAAAGGGAAAAAATGTCAAACCAAAATGACAATGACATTTTCTTAAAAATCTCAAAAACCATCAAAGATAAAATTTTGGTATGAAAATTGTTAAAAACTATATAAAGCAAGGTTTAATTTGATATATCACTCTTAAATATCAAAAAACAAATAAAAAAGTTACAAAGTGGTGAAAACATGTCAAACCAAAAGACAAGGTTCTACATTTTCTAAAAAATCTCAAAAAGTATAAAATTTTAGTATGAAAATTGCTAGAAACTACATAAAACAAGGTTTAATTTGATATTCCAGTCTTAAAAATCAAATGACAAATAAAAAAGTTACAAAATGGTAAACAAATGACAATCAAAATAACGAGGTTCTACATTTTCTTAAAAATCTCAAAATCCATCAAAGATAAAATTTAAGTAAACACATTTCTAGAAACTAGATAAAACAAGGTTTATTTTGATATATCACTCTTAAAAATCAAATAACAAATAAAAAAGTTACAAAGTGGTGAAAAAATGTTCAACCAAAAGACAAGGTTCTACATTTTCTTAAAAATCTCAAAAACCATCAAAGATAAAATGTTGGTATAAAAATTCTTAAAAACTAGAAAAAACAAGGTTTAATTTGATATATAACTCGCAAAAATCAAACAACAAACAAAAAAGTTACACCGCATCGAAAATCGACAAAAATATCTTACCGGACGTGATCGAGTTGGCGCTGCTGCTCGTGTGCGCCACCTTCTGGTGGCTCCTCGCGTTGTAGTCCTCGAGCAACCTGACAACGCCGCGGTGGCCGCTCTTGGCGGCAACCCGCATCGCGTTCCGCCCGCAGGCGTCCGAATGATTGGGGTCCGCCCCGTGCTCCAGCAAAGCAACTACGCACAACTCGTGGCCTTCCTGAGCAGCTATACCTAAGTTAAAAAAATAATAAAAATGTTGCAAATTAAGGGTTAAGCCTAAATTATAGATTGCCTTCCTTCCTTCCTCCCGTAGAAGATGAACATTACGTAATTGTCACCATTAGGAATTTTTAATACTTTGTGATAATATTTTGCAATTAAAGTAATAAAAAAAATCAAAGAATAAAATATTTTCTTAACAAAATCATATTTTGAAGTTATTTTAACATTTTAAAGTATCAATAATTGTTAAGTTTAATTAAAATTAATAACGGGCAATGTTAATGGTGACAATTACGTCAAAAATGTTTATTTAAATCGTAGCGCCATTTATAGATTCCCGTACCGTAAGGACGGCATTCCTTCCTCCCGTAGAAATTTTTAAGTTTTATCTTTCACCGTAAAGGTCTTTGACATGACCAATCACAATGCTTGTTATGGACATGCGCTGTAGGGTGACAGCGCGTAGGCACAAAATATTTAAAATACATGATTGTTTCGTATTATTTAAGATAGGTGTTCAGTTTATTAAATAATTTGTGTCTCTAAATAGGATATTTAGATATTGTTTGTGATCAATGTCTTTCATTTTTGGAAACGTTGCTTTGTAAAACCCCGTAGTTTCCCGGTCTTGGTAAAGTGGGCGAGTCTTCCAACGTCTTGTTCGATGTTTTTTTTTTCATTATACTGCCCTACTATGGAGAAAGGCAGTAACTACAAATGCGTTTTCTTGTGCTATGATAAAGCTATGGACATTTTGTATCTTAATTCGACAAAGAAATGCAGTAAACTATCTTTTAAGTTAAATAAATCAGTTAAATACCTACTGCTTTTTATAAAAATGTAGTTTATGCTAATTTCCCACAAATTTCTTGTTTAGCAGTTTCTGCCTTTCTCCATAGTTGGGCAGTATACAACAAGCTGCCTGGGCAATTAAAATTGTGATCACTGCACTATATATAAATGATTATCTTTCATATTTACACACAATGGGTAAAACGCAGAATATAGACAAAAACAAATGTCAACCATTTTAGGTGTCATCGCGCATGGTTACGGAATTTTACACGGAAATCTATAAATTGACTTTTTACAAGACGCACAAATCGTACGGGCACGACTACGGGAGGAAGGAAGGAAGGCAATCTATAATTCAGGCTTTAAGGTGTAATTTTACCCAGCGCTGTGGCGCCTTGGTTGCAGGTGTGATCGGGCATGGCCCTGTGATCCAAAAGCATTTTGACGATGTCGGAATGGCCCTGCCAAGAGGCGGAGTGCAGTGCGGTGCGGTTTTCTAAATCAGTGGCGTCCACTTGGGCTTTTCCGTAGGTCAAAAGAAGGGACACCATTTCCGTGTGGCCTTGCCAGGAAGAAACGTGAAGCGGAGTACGACCCTGCATGAAAAGACAATTTTAATAAATCAAGGTTAAAAATCAATAAACAAATAGAAAAGTTAGAAAAAGGTGAAAAAATATTATACCAAAACGACAAGATTATACATTTTCTTAAAAATTTAAAAAACTATAAAAGATGCAATTTTGTTGTAAATATTATTTAAAACTGGATTAAACAAGGTTAAATGGGAAATTTCACTCGTAAAAATCAACAAACAAATAAAAAAGTTAGGAAAAGAAAAGATGAAAATATGTCAAACCAAAATGATTTTCTTAAAAATCTTAAAAAACATTCATATTTTGACAAGTTTATACATTTTCATAAAAATCTCAAAAACTATCAAAGATACAATTTTGTTGTAAATATTATTTAAAACTGGATTAAACAAGGTTTAATTGGATATATCATTCTTAAAAAAAAACAAATAAAAAAAGTTAGGAAAAGGTTAAAAAATGTCAAACCAAAATGGTTTTCTTAAAAATCTTAAAAAAACATTAAACAAGCTATTTTGGTTTGGAAATTGTTAAAACCTAGATAAAAAAGGTTTAAATTTTTAAAAATCAAAAAAAAAAAAGTATCAAAAAGATGAAAAAACTTCAATAATACATGTTTCAAAAAATTTCAAAAACTATCAGTTTTGTTATAAATTTTGTTATAAAAATTGTTCAAAACTAGATACAACAAGGTTGAATTTGATATATCACTCTGAAAAATCAAAAATCAAATAAAAAAGTTAGGATAAGGTAAAAAAACGTCAAAGATTTTTTTATAAAAATTGTTCAAACCTAGATAAAAGAGGGTTAAATTTGATACATCTCTCATAAAAATCAAAAAACAAATAAAAAAGTTTGCAAAATGTGAAAAAACGTCAAACCAAAATGACAAGGTTATACATTTTCCTAAATATCTCAAAAGGTATAAAATATATAATTTAGGTGTAAAAAATGTAAGAAACAAGATAAAACAAGGATTAATTTGATATCACTTTTAAAAATCAAAAAACAAATCAATAAGTTATGAAAAGGTGTAAAAACATTAAACCAAAAATCTCAAAAACTTACAAAGATACAATTTTGATTTAAAAATTGTTTAAAACTAAATAAAAGAGGGTTGAATTTGATATATCACTCTTAAAATTCATAAAACAATAAAAAAGTTAGGAAAAGCTGAAAAAAATTAAAGCAAAGTGAAATATAAAATTTTAGAGTTAAATTTGATATATAATTCTTAAAAATCAAAAAAACGAATAAAAAAGTTACGAAAACGTAAAAAAATGTCAAACCAAAATGACAAGGTTTTACATTTCCCTAAATATCTCAAAAGGTATAAAATATATAATTTAAGAGTGAGAAATGTAAGAAACTAGATAAAACAAAGTTGAATTAATTATATAACTCTTAAAAATCAACAAACAAATAAAAAAGTTAGGAAAAGGTGAAAAACATCAAACCAAAATGACAAGGTTATACATTTTCTTAAAAATCTCAAAAACCATCGAAGTTACAATTTTGGTGTAAAAATGTTAAAAACTAGATAAAACAAGGTTTAATTTGATATATCACTCATAAAAATCAAAAAACAAATAAAAAAGATACCAAAAGGTTAAAAATGTCAAACCAAAATGACACGGTCATACATCTTCTCTAAAATCTAAAAACCTATTAAAGATACAATTTTGAAAATTGTTCCAAACAGAATAAAACAAGGATGAATTTGATATATCACTGTTAAAAACCAAAAAACAAATAAAAAAGTTACAAAAAGGTGAACAAATGTAAAACCAAAATGACAAGGTTCTACATTTCCCCTTAATATCTCAAAACGTATAAAATACATAATTTGGGTGTAAGAAATGTAAAAAACTAGATAAAACAAGGAATAATTTGATATATCAATTTTAGAAATCAACAAACAAAAAGTTACAAAAAGGTGAAAAAATGTCAAATCAAAATGACAAGGTCATATATGTAGGTATCTTCTTAAAAATCTTAAAACCTATTAAAGATTTAATTTTTTAATGAAAATTGTTTCAAACAAGATAAAACAAGAATGAATTTGATATATCACTGTTAAAACCCAAAAAACAATAAAAAAGTTACAAAAAGGTGAAAATTTTAATATATCACTCTTGAAAATTATATAACTCTTAAAAATCAAATAACAAATAAAAAAGTTACGAAAAGGTGAAAAAATGTCAAACCAGAAGACTAAATTTTATATTTTCTTAAAAATATCAAAAACCATCAAAGATAAAATTTTAATATATCACTCTTGAAAATCAAGTAACAAATAAAAGAGTTACAAAAACTTAAAAAGATGTCAAACCAAAAAAAAAATCTACATTTTCTAAAAAATCTCAAAAAGTATAAACGATAAAATTTTAGTATGAAAATTGTAAGAAACTAGATAAAACAAGGTTTAATTTGATATATAACTCTAAAAAATCAAATGACAAATAAAAAAGTTACAAAAAGGTGAAAAAATGTCAAATCAAATGACAAGGTTCATAATTTTCTTAAAAATCTCAAAAACCATCAAAGATAAAATTTTGGTATAAACATTGCTCAAAACTAGATAAAACAAGGTTTAATTTGATAGAATCAAATAACAAATACAAAATATTCAAAGTGGTGAAAAAATGTCATAACAAAAGACAAGGTTCTATATTTTCTTAAAAATCTCAAAAACCAAAAACGATAAAATTTTAGTATCAAAATTGCTAGAAACAAGATAAAGCAAGGTTTAATTTGATATATCACTCTTAAAAATCAAATGACAAATAAAAAAGTTACAAAAAGGTGAAAAAATGTTAAACCAAAATGACAAGGTTTTACATTTCCCCTTAATATCTCAAAATGTATAAAATAAATAATTTGGGTGTGAGAAATTTAAAAAACTAGATAAAACAAGGAATAATTTGATATATCAATTTTAGAAATCAACAAACAAATAAAAAAGTTATAAAAAGGTGAAAAAAATGTCAAACCAAAAAAGACTTAAAAATCTCAAAAACTATAGATACAATACTTATATAAAAATTGTTTATTTGCGTTAAAACTTCTTGAAAATCGCACAAAAATTGTTGGTGTAATTTTGGCTAAAAATGTATTTTTTTGTTAATTCAACTCACCTCAAGGTCCCTAGTTTCCACATCCGCCCCTTGCTGTATGAAATACTTCGACATAGCCAACCGGTTATCCAAAGCCAGAACATACAGGGTGCTCCTGCCATCCGCGTCCTTAACGTCCGCATCAGCCCCGTTTGCAATCAAAATTTGCACGATATCGTAGTGTCCCTCCAATGCGGCAAGTCTAAAAATATTAGTCATGAAGAGCCTTGTCAAAAATAGTTCGATTTACTAACATTGAGTGCGCCCACCTAAATTAAATAATTTTGGGCTGCTGATTTCAAAAATGCAACTCGTTTTGCTCTAGGACGTCTAGGATTCGAAATAATTGCGTAATAAAATGCTCCGCCCAATTATCTCAAAATGTAAGTTTTTTGTTAATATTTTGATTATTTATTAAATTATTTTGCCTTAAATCTATTTTGGATGTTCTGTATATTTTTGACGTTTTTTGTCAAAAATATACAAGGACTCCATACAAAGTCATTGGTAGATAAATGTAAAATAGAAATTTTGTTTGTTCCATTGTAGCCGTATACTATAGTAGTATTTTATAAGGGATATTTAATAAAGCACTTTTCTGCAGAGAAGTGCTTTATTAAAAACCAAAACTAAAATTATAATGTTTTTTGGTAAAAAAGTATCATTTTTTGAAATTTTTGTGTCGTTTTTTTAATTACTAATTAAATTGAAAAGGCAAGTAAATGGGTTTCGACTATTATTTTTATTCACATCATGCCTAAAGTACCCCAAAAATTTAATCTCGAATCTTATTTATTAAGTCTTATCGAAATTTAATATCGAATTGAAGAATAAAGGCGCCTTTATCTACTTTATCGTTCAAGCACACTAAAGTGCATCTATTAAATATTGACATTTAAAATTTAAACTTTAACTTGTGTTTTTACTTTAAAGTGATTTTAAGAACCAAAAATGAAAAAAGAGCAGGAAATGGAAGTGGTAATGGAAGTGGCAGAGAAAGAGAAAGGAGACGAACATTTATGTCGTCGTTGTAAATTTGTTTTGTTTTTGTTGCGGTACCTTTACGCCCAAGAAAAACCAACGCAATATTTCATTACAAAATTTTATGAGATATACCTACTACTATAATTTTGCAGGAATATTAAATGGACCTGATATACGACGTTTAATGAAAGATCAAGCATTCAAAAATCCTCTCAAAGTTGACGAGCTTGTCGCATATGGCAGTGTTAAAGCTGTCATTAAAACTGTTCTTGGTTCGTATCGGGCCTAAAATTGGCGCCAATTCATTGAAAAAATGCTTTCCGTTTTGCAAAGAATTAGCGTTAATATGTCATTTAAAATACATTTTCTTTTATCTCATCCTGATAAATTTGCCGAACTGATGAACATGGAGAACGATTTCACCAAGTAACTGCAAATCTAGAGCATTGGTAGATATCTATGGGTATAGCGGAAAGAAGTTGGATTCATTGCTGGGAGGCATTTGCTGGAATTTGCAGCAAAAGATGTACGACGATGATGAAGATTAAGCACAATAATACTATAATCCAATTTGATATTTGATACGATTTAATAAATTTAAGGTAGAAAAAAGCGAAATTATGCAATGCATTAAATTTTGAGGGCTTCATTTGGATAAAAAATACTGAAAATGTTTACTTTGTTGCCCTTTCAATTTAATAATTAAAATAAACGACAAAAAATGTTAAATAGTGGTTGTTTTTTTACATAAAATACATTAAAATTTTAGTTTTAGTATTTAAAATGTCATATTGTTAAGATAAATATGATCTATTTGCCGTATACAAATTACTTTAGTACATTCAAGATAAATTTAAGCCAAAATAATTTAATAAATAATTAAAATACCAACAAAAAACTTACATTTTGCGGTGATTGAGCAGAGCATTTTATTACGAAATTATTTTAAATCCTAGACGTCCTAGAGAAAAACGAATGACATTTTTGAAATCAGCGGCCCAAAATTAGTTAACTAAGCTGGAGTACTTAATGCAGGGCTCCCACGGCAAAATTACAAATTTTATTTAGGAATTTAGGAGGTTTTTTGTAAAATTTTAGGAGAAATAAAGTATGGAAATGAATTTCTTTAATTAAATAAAAATATCTCTTTACTACTTAAAAATAAAAAAAAATTAATTGTAACAATAAGTTATATTGACTAGTTTTTTAGCCAAATCGCTCGACGAGTTTTTTTTTAAATAAAATTAAAAGTGAGGTAAAATTACTACTTTTGTATATATCTGAGGTACATATATATACAAGTATAAATTTCACCACACTTTTAATTTTATTTAAAAAAATGCGTCGATAGATTTGGTTAATGCCAAAATCAAATGATGTTATCTTTATATTTTAAGAAAAAACATGTTAACCGTTTAGTTAATAACTAACAGTAATTAAATCGATAAGGTTAAGAATAGTACAAGTCCAAAAGTAAAATTTTTGATAAAATATTTCAAAAAATCAGTTTTATAGTTCTAAATGCATTTTTGTTGGAATATTTTAACTATTTTATGAAATATAATATTCATTTTCTGTAAAATAATTTATATCTTCTGACAAAAATGTATTTTAAACTTTAAAATTTATTTTAGAAAATAAATTGTCAAAATTAAATTTTTGGACTGTTTTTATTCTCACCAATTCAATTGTAATGTGGATCTTAATACTTAATAATAATAATAATAATAAACTTTATTTACGGCACAAGGCCATGAGTATAATTACAAAAATATTACAGCATACAGAACATAAAAAATGTATAAAATATAGTTATATATATATATAAAATTAAAAAAAAAGTAAGACAAAAATAAATAGTACATAAATAAATAAATGTCCATAAAAAATAACAGTTAACAAATAAATACCATTGTATTAAAATCCGTACCAATGCTTAGATCCCAGCTGAATTTATTTTTAATTGAAGATGTTTTTTAAAAGTATGAAGTGTGCTGACAAAAAATTCAATATTAACTACGTTTGCAAGTCTGCATGCACGATCCAATGGAGTATTGTATGAATAATTTGTACTATGTGAGTTTGTGTAAAATAAAGTATTCAGTCGGTTTACTCTTAGAGGTGCATGTAATCTAATATCGGCCAGAAGTGAGGAGCTATCAATTAAATTATTTAGAATTTTGTACAGAAATAATATGTCATTTTCCTGTCTTCTAGTTATTAATGAGGGTAAATTTATTATTAGCCTTATGTCACATATGTCCGCTGGAATTGGAATATTTAGTTTATAAGCACAAGTTCTTAAGAATTTATTTTGGACTCTTTCAATTCGATTGATATGGATGTTATAGTAAGGTGACCAGATGATACTATTAAATTCCAGGATAGATCTAATGTAACTTATATATACCGTTTTCAGACACGAAATATCAAAATCTTTTAATTGCCGATTTACAAACCCCAACATACGGTATGATCTGTTTATGATTACATTTATATGATCATTAAAGGTAAGTTTATTGTCAAAAATTATACCCAGATCTTTGATTTTGGATACATTTTCAAGAGGATTATCCTTAATTTTGTATTCATAACAAATTTTATTTCTTTTCCTGGTAAAATTTATAGATTTGCATTTAGTAGTATTTAGTGTCATTTTATTTTCATCGCACCAGTGTTGTAACTGATTTAGGTCTTCTTGTAATTTTTTACAATCGTATTGAGTATTTATTATTTTAAATAACTTAAGGTCGTCTGCAAACATTAAACAGTAACTGTGTTGAAAGCATGAGACTATATCATTTATAAAGCAGTTAAATAGTAAAGGTGACAAATGACCTCCTTGAGGAACCCCGGATGTAACTGCGATAGAAGAGGATTTAATTTTCCCATCAATTAACACAATTTGATTTCTATCACCCAAGTAGCTAGATAGCCAATCACTCATATTCCTTCCAATTCCCAGTGCCTCTAACTTTTGAAGCAGTATAGTATGATCAACCTTGTCGAAGGCCTTCGAAAAATCAGTATAGATAGCATCTACCTGGCCATGGTTTTCAATGGCCTTCAACAGGAATTGTTCATATTCAAGTAAGTTTGTGGTTGTAGATTTTTTGCGACAGAATCCGTGTTGTTGTTCATTTAGTATAGGCAAAATTAAATTTGACAAATGTGTGCAAAGTATTTTTTCCATTAATTTGGGTATCGTTGATATCTTGGAGATTGGTCTGTAATTAGCTACATTAGTTTTATCGCCGCTTTTCAACACAGGAATTACATAACTAGTCTTCCAGATATGAGGAAATGTGGCACATTTTAAGGACATATTAAAAAGCATTCTTATTGGCTTAGCTAAAGTGAATCTGCAATAATAAAGTACAGATGGTGGTACGGAATCTGGACCTGAAGGTTTCCAGTTATTAAGAGTAGAAAGTTCTTTAAATATGTCACAATCACCGAATACAAAATTAAAATTATCAATTGTTTTTTCATAATTAAAATCAGGTACTGCATTATTATGTTTTGGACTATATACAGAAGCAAAGTGATTTGCAAATAAATTAGCTATGTTTGTAGGATCAGAAATACTTTCGTTGTTCGATTTCATTATTTTTGGCAATGCTGAGTCTTGTTTTTTCGATCTTATATATTGCCAAAAATATTTTGGGTTACTATTTATATTATTGCTCATATTTTTTATGTAGTTTGAGTAGCATTCTTTGGTAAGTAAATTACAATGCCTCCTCACTTCTGAGAATTTACTATAGTTTTCATTAGATACAAATTGCTTGTAATGTTTGTGAGCCAGTTTTTTAGCAGTTATTAATTTTTTTAGCTCTGAAGAGAACCAGACTGGATATGTAAATTTAGAAACACTTTTTACAGGAACAAACAAATCAAACAAGTAATATATAACATTATAAAAATTCTCAACACATTCATTAACATTGACAGAACTGAAAATGGTATCCCAGTTAATGCCAGCCAAGAAATAGTTTAAAGACTCATAGTCACAATTTTTAAAGTCAAAATAAGTTTTATTAAAGTTTGATTGTTGGTTTGCCTCAATTGAGTATTGTAAGTGAAGAGGGGGGTGGTATTTATCTATGGGTAAGAGTTCTTCATCAGCACTATTAACTAGTAAGTTTACTGAATTTGAAAATACAAGATCCAAACATTGGTTAAGATGGTTGGGCACAACATTATTTTGATAAAAGTTACAATAGTTGAAGGAATTTAGAATTGCTAGAGATTTATCATTTAAATTTCCAGTTATATTAAGACCATTTAAATCATTATACCAACTAATGTTAGGTAGATTGTAGTCACCACAAATTACTAGATTATTACCAATTTTAAGCTCATCCACAATAGACTCTACGGTGGTACAATGGCATTCATAAACATTTATAGGTGAATTTGGTGGTATATATACTGAACCTACAATAATTTGTAAACAACCAAGTTTTAGCATTACAAATAGCTGTTCGACAATGTTTGGGGTCAGTTGAATTTGATATGACGCGATGGATTTTTTTACAGCAATTAGGACCCCGCCCCCTCGACTATGGTGACTAGTTTGTTGATTTCTGTCAAATCTATATATGTGATAGTTAGTAAGGGAAAGTTCAGCATTAGTTATAGTGTCATTTAGCCAAGTTTCTGTGAATATTAGGACATCAAACTCAGTCATTGCTACTGATTGCATTAAAGGAATTAACTTGGTTCGAAGTCCTCTAACATTTTGGTAGTACATATGTAATTCTTGTTTAGGGTTCTGATTGAGATCTTGTTTTTGTTGTTTACTTAACCTTATACTTGGGACGTACGATTCCAGTGGTTGCTATGTGCTGAACTTGTTCTTCTGCATTTGTTCCACTCTTTTAAAAGTTGAACATTTAGTTACCTCCCATACCTCATGATCTGTGCTCATATTCATACCATATCTTTCATTTGATAATACACAATTAGAGCATTTAGTAAACGTACTTGAACAGTCAGTATGGTAGTGGTTTCCACTGCATTTCTGGCAGACCTGATTTTCCTTGCAGTCTTTAACTTGATGACCATATTGGCAACACTTGAAGCACCTTATTACACCAAAATCATTGTAAACCCAGCATCTGTTCCACCCTATATTCATTTTCTGCTTTTCAATAAATGATGTATGAGTGCTGCTATCCATCACAAACACTATGTTAAACCTATTGTTTACAATCTTTGTGCGGTGTACAATCCTTAATTTGGCTTCACTATTTAGCTCATTTTGTTTTATTATTTTTGCAATAATTTCATCATCAGTATTGTTTGATTCATCATTGCTTATTCCTACTACTTTTAATCTATTCTCAAGGGTTTTAGGTTTCACTACATTATAATCATCACCCATTTTCTTCTGTATCAGGGACTGGACACTAGTAATGTCTTTTTCGTTTCCACAATTTATGATAAGTCCTCCAGTTTTTGTTGTTCTGCCAATGGAAATACCTACACCTATCTCAGTCGGATTCACTTTCTGCTTTAGTTGATCCTTGATTTGCTTAGCATCAGTTATACCCTTTTGTTTTACAACTAATACTTTATTCGCATTTTTTATGACGGAAGCAAATGATGGTGTTTGGGAAGATGTTGAAGGAGTGTTGATAAACGGAGGTGGATTTAAGTAAATAGGTTTATTACTTCCTTCTTTGAGAGCTTTAATTTCCTCTTTCTGTATATTATTTTCCTTCAGTAATATATCCATTTTGAACGTTAAGTCATTAACTTTATCAACTAGACATTGTAGTATAGACTGGATAGCTTCCAAACCATTTTGATCCATTGGAAAGTCTTCTAATCTACTTCTTTTTCTGGCTTTTGGTTCATCAATTTTAGGTTGGCACAACGAACACTTCCATGAACTTCTCCTTAGATGAAATCCACGCAAATCAATTTCTTCACATTTAACATGGTAGTAATTTTCACACTCTATACACTGGACCATAGATTTGGGATCATCAAATATTATTTTACATTTAAAGCATGTAGTGGAGTCGCCAGTATGACTTACATTCGCCATGACCTTTTCAATAGACATGGGCTGCAATTAAGTTGCAGCCCTAATTTTTGACAGATACAAATTTCAACTATCACTAATGTGTTGTTAAATAGATAAATTTTAAAATACTAGTATTAAGGCACAACTTAAAAATCTCATAACAAAATATGAAGTTTGCAAAATACAGCAAAACATTCTTTAGATTGTTTACTATTTTAGCTGTCATTTAAAAGAAAATTAAAAATCCTTTTGTTTGGTATATAACACGGTATATTTTTGACTAAAAAATGAAATATCGCTAAAAAAGACAATTTTGTAGAAGTTTTTATGTTGTTTTTTAAGAAAAATTTTAGTTGTCATATTATATCATTTTAAAAAGAATTTAATAAAATAGAACCTAAATATATACATTAGGGTGATTCATTTCCGCAAAGTTTTTGTTTTCTTCGGTGCTCAAGCAAAATATTAATCTGCATATAGAAAAAAAAATTCTCAACAAGTTTGAGCTCTTAATATAAATTTTAAGTACTTACTATTTAAATTTAAAGTTTTACCGTTTAAAATGCATGTAAAAAATAAATATTTTTTTTTAAATTTCTAATGCTTACCCACCTTTGACAATATTGCAAATCGGTTTAATACACCTTATGGGGAATTTCACGCTCTTTAAAATTGCTTTTGAGTTTTTTTTGTAACTCGCATTGGTTCACCAGTAGGAGTCGCCAGTTTTTGAAAAAAATCGTTTTTTTTTTTATTGTTTTTTAACAAACCGCAAAAAGTAAGGAGAAAAAAGGGCTGAATCATAGAAAAAAGTTATCCAACCAATATAATGAATTTACAGCCATTTTTATAACTGAAAACGTAAGAAATTGATAATTACCAACTCATAATGTTATTTAGATTGATTTTTTCTATTTATTATCATTATTTCCCTACACTAAGAAGTTTTTTTAAATTATTGAATATGAAAACAACAGATAAATTCATAAAAAAAAACAATAAGAAAATTGTAACGTGGATTTTGCAATTTTTCAACATTTCTGTCATATAGCAAAAAAATATAAATGAAGATTATTTAGTTTTTTGAAGCGAAATTTGAAATATGTTACATAAACTTCTGTATATTCCGATTAAAGTTTTGTTGTTTTTTTTTATGAATTTATGTGTTGTTTTCATATTCATTATGAGTGAGAAATCATATTAATTTTAAAAAAGTTCTTAGTGTAGGGAAATATAATGATAATAAATAGAAAAAATCAATCTAAATAACATTATGGGTTGGTATTTATCAATTTCTTACGTTTTCAGTTATAAAAATGGCAGTAAATTCATTAAATATTGGTTGGATAACTTTTTTTTTATGAATCAGCCCTTTTTTCTCACTACTTTTGGCGATTTGCTCGAAAAAATAAAAAAAAAAACGATTTTTTTTTAAAACTGTCCTTTGACGACTCCTACTGGTGAACCAATGCGAGTTACAAAAAAAACTCAAAAGCAATTTTAAAGAGCGTGAAATTCCCCATAAGGTGTATTAAACCGATTTGCAATATTGTCAAAGGTGGGTAAGCATTAGAAATTTGAAAAAAATATATATATTTTTTACATGCATTTTAAACGGTAAAACTTTAAATTTAAATAGTAAGTGCTTAAAATTAATATTAAGAGCTCAAACTTGGTGAGAATGTTTTTTTATATATGCAGATTAATATTTTGCTTGAGCACCGAAAAAAAACAAAAACTTTGCGGAAATGAATCGCCCTAATATACATATTTAAATTACTTTTTAAAAAAGAATTTTTTTAGCACTAACTTAATTAAACGCAGTCAGGTTGGCCTATTTAAATTAAATTTTTAGGATTTTAGGAGTTTTAGGAGATTGAAGGCAATTTTAGGAGTTTTCAAGATTTAAGCAAAATTTTAGGAATTTTATGAGTTTTAGGAGGTGTGGGAGCCCTGTTAATGTTAGGAAAAAAAGTTTCTAAAACTATCATAGTGTTATTTACCTTAAGGCAGTTTTGCCGTCGTGAGGCCGTTGGTTAACGGGTGCGCCATATTTATCGATAAACATGTTGACTAAAACTGTGTGCCCCCCTTGTGCTGCTAAAGCTAAAGGAGCTTTTCCTTCATTGTCGGTTTCGTCGATTCGCGCCCCAGCTTCCAATAAAGCTTCGCACACATCGTGGTGTCCCTCGAAAGCTGCGTAATGTAAAGGTGTCCATCCGGAGTTGTCTCTGTGCAGTTCGTCTAAACCTCTGTCTAAGAGTTGACGCACCACCTCTACGCACCCTTTAAACATAACAATATTTATCTACTCCTACATTGAAGAGCTGCGACTTTATTGCATTTTAGTCACGGGCTGAAGTTAGCTTTATTATAAATTGCGAAAAGTGAGGTTAAATCCGTTAAAAGTTGACAGATGTCAAATGTTTAACAAATGAAATTAGCTTTACATTTTTTTTTCTGTTCGTCGTAGATTTAACTCGTACCAGCCAAGATTTCGAATTTTTAAAAAAATTCTCATAATTTTTAAGATTTTTAAAAATTAATGATCTAAAATTTACTAAACTTTTCAAATTTCCAGTGTTAAAAATTAAAGAAATTTTAAAATTTTCAAGATTTAAAACATTTTTAAAACAAAAAATTTTCATTTTGACCACTCGTACCAGCCAAGATTACGAATTTTTATAAATTTTCGAAAAATTTTAAAAACTACAATTTTCAGTGTTCAAAATTTTCTTAATTTAGAAATTTAAATTAGATTAGATTTTTAAAATGCCCAAAATTTGCTAATTTACAAATTTTTTAAATTTCCAAATACTGTTTTTGTGTTTAAAGTTTTCTTATTTTTAGAAAAATTCTCATAATTTTTAAGATTTTTCAAAAACATATTATTCTTTTTTTTAAATGTCTATATTTCCAAAACTTTTTAAATTTCCAGTGATTAAAATTTTCTAAATTTCCACTTTTTAAAATTTCCGAATTTTCTAGATTTTACAATATTCAAAATTTTTAAAATTTCAAAATATTTAAATTTTTTTTTATTTCGCCTACCAAACTCGTACCAGCCAAGATTTCGATATACTTTTTAATTTTCAAAAATTACAAAATTTTTAAAACTACGAAAATGTTTTTTAAATTTCGATATTTTCAAAACCTACAATTTTTAGTGTTTAAAATTTAATTTACAAATTTTTTATACTTTGTGATAATATTTTGCAATTATAGTAATAAAAAAAATCAAAGGATAAAATGTTTTCTTAACAAAATCATATTTTTTAATATTTTAAAGTACCAATAATTGTTAGGTTTAATTAAAATAATAACGGGCAATGTTAATGCTTAAAATTATGTCAAAAAATCCACTGAAAAATTCTCATAAATTAAAGATTTTCAAAAATAACATAATTTTCCTTTTTTTTAAGTCTAAAATTTCAAATTTACAGTGTTAAAAATTTACGAAATTTCAAAATTTTCAAGATTTTTAAATTAATTTTCAGTTTTCAAAATTTTCTTAATTTAGAAATTTAGATTAGATTGATTTTTTTAAAATGCCCAAAATTTTCAAAAATTTTAAAATTTGCTAATTTACAAACTTAAAATTTTCAAAAACTCCTTTTTTACAAAAATTCTCAAAATTTTTAGGATTTTAAAAATTTTGAAAAACTACAAAATTTTCCTTTTTTTAAAAAATGTCAATATTTCCAAAACTTTTAAATTTCCAGTGTTTAAAATTTTCTAAATTTATTCTCAAAAACACTCGTTTGTAACATAAGCGTTTGACAGCTGATTATTAAAAGTCGTACTTTTGTTACGATGATATTAGTCGAGTGGTGGCGCTACTAGCGATACTTCTTTAGCGCATAATGAGTGAAACTTTCCGAGACGAACATTGCCAACTTCGAAAAGCGAGACTTACCTTGCGCCGCGGCCACGGACAGCACGGTCCTGCCTTCGGCGTCCATGCTGTCGATGCAGCAGCCCCAGAACAGCAAGAGGGCCACGACGGGGGCGTGGCCCATGCTGGCGGCGGCCCACAGGGGGCTGCGCCCGCCTCTGTCGCAGTGATCGACGTCCGCCTCGTTTTCCAGCAGAACTTCGCACACGTCTCGGTGACCTTCGAACGATGCCACCAAAAGAGGCGTCATGCCTTCGTTGTCTTGGTGATCGACGCTGGCGCCGCGCTCGAGCAGAGTCGATACTACGCTCGTGCCGGGGGATCTGAGAGAGATTGCATGTTAGAAAGTACACGTCATCAATAAAACAAAAATTTTACGCATTGGTACCAACACTAAATGACTAAATCGAAGTCTGTAATTGAATATTTGAATGCATTTTAACCAAATTAAGTTGGCAACAATTGCGATGTTGTCATGTTTACATTCAAATTTTTCATATTTAAATGACACATAAAAAAAAATTTGACGTTTTAGAATTTCGAAGCTGTCAGTTGTGTTTTTGAATATTTCGTTTAATTCGTGTATTATTTCGTTTATTTTGTTTGTTGTTTGTGTTATTTTATATCGTTTAAGTTTTCATTGCCGTTTTTGTGTTTGTCGTTTTTTTGTGTTTCCTATATTTAAAATGCCGAAGCATTTAAATAGTCGGAGTCAAGAGTTGGTGTCATCCTTAATACGCTATTTTGAGGCAGAACGGGATAATAATGGACCTTTGTTACCTTTAACAGCTGTTAGAGAGGTAAATAGGATTATTATTAATTATATATTAGAATATTTAACAAAATATATGTTGGATACATGAAATAATAATATATATATACCAGAGACTGACTTTAGATGGCAAAATTTTTGGGTTTTATATCAGAAAATGTCTTTAAAAATGGCTAAAAACATACTTTTGGCGGTGCATCATATAGGTTATAAAAACTCAGACTTTTGACATTTTGGTATTATTCATGTAAACGCCATCTATCGCCCTGTAGTTGCACTACCACTTTCCCTTGATGCAAGGATTTTAGCATCACATTGACAACCGTGCCCGATCAGCTGATTGATGACGTGTACGTAGTTTACTTTTAAATTTACTATTCTTTTAAATGGTTCCCATACTCAAATTTTATATTTTATGGTTTTAATAATAATATTTTTAGAAAAACAGATCATTTTGTCTTAACTCTTCCCACACAACAAACATAAACATGGATTTATCCGCTTTCGAAACCAAATGTTCTATATAATCCTATAAGAAAAACATTTTTGATGTGTAAAACATGCCATGGCTCTGGGGTACGAGCTTCCTGGAAGACTGAGCGTAACGCGTAAGTGGCGTAAGAAATTAGTGGCTGTGCTTAAGCAAGAGAGAGATAGAAATAAATTAAACCAAAATTTCCTTGATCTTGAGTATCAAATGAAAGAGTTTGACGAGTAGAAAACGGTAAGGTTGGTGAATTCCTGCGATTACCAAAATTTCAAGATTTTTAAAAAAAATTCAAATTTACAAATTTTTAAAATGTCCAAAATTTATAAAAATTTCAAAATTTGGAAGATTTTTTAAATTTCCAAAATATTCAAAATTTTCAAGAAACTTTTAAAAGCACCAAATTTTAAGACTTTTAAAATTTCCAAGATTTCAAAAATTTACAAAAACTTTACTGAAGTGTTCAAAATTTCCAAATTTTTTAAAAAACTAATAATTTTTAAGATTTTTAAAATTACAAAATTTTCTTTTTTAAAGCTCTAAAATTTACAAAACTTTTTAAATTTTCAGGGTTTAAAATTTTAAATTTTCATGACTAAAATATTAAAAAATTTTAAATTTCGAAACATTTTTAAATCAAAATTGTTTTATTTCGCCCACTAAACCAGACAAGATTTCGAAATTATTTTAAATTTTAGAAAATTACAAAATTTTCAAAAAGTACAATTTTCAGTGTTCAAATTTTTTTTTAATATACAAATTTCGAGATTTTTAAATTTCCCAATAACCAATTTTTTTTTAATTTTCAAATAGTACAAAATTTTCCTATTTTTCAAAAATGTCTAAAATTTCCAGTGTTTAAAATTTTCTAAATTTCTACTTTTTAAAAATTTCCAAATTTTCAAGATTTTTTAATTATTCAATTATTTTAAAATTTTAAAACATTTTTAAATCAAAAAATTTAATTTTTTTTAACAGCAACGATTTCCATTTTTTTTAAATTTTAGAAAATTAAAAAAAAATTTAAAACACGAAATTTTTCCAGTGTTCAAAATTTTCTTTATTTATAAATTTAGAGATTTTAAAAATGCCCAAAATTTTCAATTTTTTTTAAATTTTCAAAATTTTCCAATTTACAAATTTTAAAAATTTTCAAAAACTTTTTTCAACTTTAAAAAAAAAATTCTCATAATTATCCTTTTTTCAAAAATGTCTAAAATTTCCAGTGTTTGAAATGTTCTAAATTTATACTTTTTAAAATTTCCAAATTTTAAAACATTTTTAAATAAAAAAAAATTCCAACTTTTTTTTTTAATTTTTGAAAATTACAAAAACTACAATTTACAAATTTCGAGATTTTATAAATGCCCAAAATTTTCCAATTTACACATTTTTAAAATTTCCAAGGTTTTAAATATTCAAAAACTCCCCTGAAGTGTTTACATTTTCTAAATTTTTAAAAAAATTCTCATAATTTTTAAATGTCTATAATTTTCAAAATTTTAAATTTACATTTTTAAAGTATTCAAAATATTTAAAATTTCAAAACAACAAAAACAAAAGTTTTTAATTTTTTCTCGTACCAGCCAAGATTTCGATTTTTTTAAAATTTTCGAAAATAACAAAATTTTTAAAACTATCAAAATATTTTTTAAATTTCCGAAATTTTAAAAAACTACAATTTTCCGTGATCAAAATTTTCCCTCAATTTACAAATTTTACAGATTTATAAAATGCACAAAATGTTCAAAATTTCCCAATTAACAAATTTTTAAAATTTCCAAGGTTTTAAAGATTTTCAAAATTTCCAAATTTCTTAAATTTTTTAAAAAAATTCTCATAATATTTAAGATTTTCAAAAATTACAAAATTTTCCTTTTTTCAAAAATGTCTAAAATTTTCAAAACTTTAAACTTTCAGTTTTAACAATTTTATTAATTTAAACTTTTTCAAATTTCCAAATATTCAAAATTTTTAAAATATTAAGATATTTTTAAATCAAAAAATTTGGTTTTTGAAACTTTTTAAAATGTCCAAAATTTTCAAAATTTTTTAATTTTTAAGATTTTAAAATTTCCAAATATCAAAACTAAGAAAATATTTTTAAAATTTCCGTAAATTTGAGATTTTTAAAATTTTCAAAAGTTAAAATTTTTTATATTACTAAATTTTTTAAAATTGTTGCCAAAAAATTTTCTTAAATTAAAATTTTTCCACTCACCTAGGTGCACAGAGCGCCGCGACGCTCAAGGCCGTCCTCCCATCGGCATCCGGATGATTAATATCGGCCCCGAACTCCAGCAAATGCTCCACAATCTCGGAATGACCCATATAAGCGGCCGCTATGAGGGCCGTTCTGCCTTCGTGATCCGTCAAGTTCACGTTCGAACCGTTATGCAGCAAGTTCCTCACAATCTCCTCGTGTCCCGACCAAGAGGCAGCCCTTAGTGCAGTGCGATTCTCAGAATCCACACTGTCCAGCGAGCAACCGTGTTTGACGAGCAGTTCTACCACCTGAACAAACCAAAAACAATTGTTGTCAAGTGTTTTTCTTAAAAAAAAACACGTATTTGCGCTCCACTCCTGAAAGTCCCACCAAGTGACCACGTACGGAACGCAGTCTTTTGAAAATTTCGCATTTAAGGTTATGTATCTGTCAAAGTATAGTCAACGAAAGAAATAATATTTATAGTGTTACCGCTTATGTTTAAGTATCACAATAACAATGGTTGGTTTAAGAATTTAGGAATATAAATACTGCATTTAATGAAATTCTAAAGTTTAAGGTGCAATATAAGTGATATTTTTGTGCATTGGGTCTACATTTCTCCATAAAATAGATTTAACTAAACAGCATTTATTAAAAAAAATCTAACTTCTCTATTATGAAATAAGAATATCTGTATCAAAGGTAGGTTAATGTATTAGAACAAAAAATATCATCTAATTTTGTATTTTAAGGTTAGAAAAATCTATTTTGACCAAAATAAATAAGTGGATTATTTAAAAGAGTTAATATGGTCATAAATAAATATAGGTATACTAAATAATGGTTGAATATAGTTCAAATTAAATTGAAGCTTTTATACTTCTAACGACAAAACTTGTGCATACCTCTCGGCATACTTGCTTTAAGTTAGATTATAAGAAAACAAACTTAGAGAAACTCGCAATGTGAAAATATTTAATACTCCCATGACATGTGATTTGTTAAAATTTTTAAAGTTATAATGATTTTTTGATGTAGATCAAATTCAGTCGAAGCTTTTTAACTATTTGTATTGGCAAAACTTTATGTAGGTACACTTTAAGCTGGATAAGAAAAACTACCACATTTTTAAATACCATATTATACAGTCTTTTAAATAATCCAAAATACTTATTTATTTTGGTCAAAATAAATTTTTCTAACCTTAAAATTACAAAATTAGATGATATTTTTGTTATAATATCATAATAGAAAAGCTAGATTTTTTTAAATAAATGCTGTTTAGTTAAAATTATTTTATGGAGAAAACCAGATATTTGGACCAAATGCACAAAAATATTACTTATTTGGCACCATACACTTTAGAATTTCATTAAATGCAGTATTTATATTCTTAAATTCTTAAACCATCCATTGTTATTCTAATGTTATAAAGATTTATACATTTTTAACGCCTAAACATAATATTATTTCTTTCGTTGACTATACTTTGACAGATACATAACCTGAAAAGCCTTAAATGCCAAATTTTCAAAAGACTGCGTTCCGTACTTGGTCACGTGGTGGGACTTTGAGGTGTGGAGCATAGTACTGTTAACCTTAATTGAATTAAAATAATTGAAAAATTGTAATAGAGTAATTGCATCAAAAATGAAAATCCCTAAAAACCTTTTTAATGTAATCTAGAGGTAAAAACACATTACGAAAATATTTTTTTATATTTCAAAAGTTCAACCCGGCCCCAAAATATCAAATTGAAAAAAAGGTACTTTTCAAACGTTCCCGAACTCCCGCCATATTGCATGACGTCATAAACCTACACCAGTGTCAGAAATCAAGATGTCAACAAATAATAAACACCGATAAAGTTTATGTTTATCATGGAAAACGCGAAAACAAAAATTGGTTGTAAATATTGTTTTGTGCCTTGTTGTACAAATACAACCTGGAAAACTCCTGGGAAAAGGTTTATCACCGTACCAAAAGGATAAATAAGGATAAAATGGATTAAAATAGCTCGGCGCGATATCAAAACATCGTCACCGCAGTCAACATTTTATTGCTGCGAGGATCATTTGAATGTAAGTAAAATATAATGTCGTTTACTAGGTATATGATTGGAATAGTTATGTTAAATAATAATAAAATCAAGAAAATCCGGCTGAGCCGTAACAGCTCTCAGTGTAGGGCAGGGTTAAAACAATCGTTTCCAGCAAAATCATACCATTTGTACGTCAACAATAGGAAGATTGTCCGACTTCGCTGGCACAAAACCAATTTGCGGATTTCGGCTCATTTTCACTATTTTTTGAGGTTTGTATCAGTTCTTCTAACTGAAACTTGTATACAAAAACATTGACAGCTAGGCTAATGACGTCACAAACACTTCAATCAATCACGTCGCGTTTTAAATGCGGGCTAATTTTTAGGAGTTTTTATATTAAATTATTTAAAATTGAGCAATAAAAAAACAATATATTTATTGCTTTTATGATTTTAATTGCCTAATCTTTGAAATTCAATAAAAAAAAGGTATATTAAAAATTTTGCAATTACTCTATTGAATTAACAAACTCCTAATTAGTAAGTGTAGAAGATTATAACAATGATGTTATAATTCCATCTTAATAAACAGCCCCCACCGCTATAAACAGTCAACAATAAACGAGCGTTAGATTGTGCCTGGGCACGTATGAATAGACCTTAACGCTGACGTCATATGCCGTTGATGACGTTATTCTTTTTTTATTTAAGAAACTTACCTCAGTATGGCCGCCCCAGGCGGCAGCTCTGAGGGGCGTCCATCCGTCGACATCAGCCTGATCGGCGTTTGCACCTGCTTCTAAAAGCACCTAAAAATAAAGAAGTAATATTATGGTTACGATTTCTGGAACTAAAACTTTATACAGGGGATGCTGTAGATCTTCTTACCTTCACAACTTGGGCCTGACCCAGTCTTGCTGCAACGTGTAAAGCCGCTTGCCCATGAATGTCTTGAAGGTCAAACAATGGTTCAGGACTTTGCTCACTAGATGTCGATGCTAGCGACATCTTAAATAAAATAATTTTAGCTTGTGAAAGGTACAAATTAAATCTAAAAATTTACCTTTTTTTTAATAAAAAATAAGTGAACTCTGGTTTGAAAACTACCTTAATGATTAGTGTAAAATTTATATTGCAATGCGTTGAATGTTTCAAGAAATATTTAGTTAAAAGGTATTTATATAGCATGAATCATTTTTCATAATATTTACGTAAATGACTTAGTTATTTGGAATACTCATTTTTAGTAGTATCTACATACAGGATTAGAAAATTTGTAATATTTTAAAATTTAAATTAATAGAAATCGCAAAAAAAATTTAAAATTATTACAAAAAAACAACTTGGAACAAAATTCGCAAAGTAATGATAATAATGTTTATTTATTTCAAGAAATTTGCATGCAGAAGAAAATGTACCTAAAATACAAATATTAAATTAAATTTGGTCCAAAATATATTTCTTAATAATTCAAAAATTCGCAGCAGAGCAGCAACAGCAGCCCAGCAGACAAGACCTGAAGATGGTACATGAGATTTTACCGAAACGTCGTCAGACATACGGTTCTTTTAAGAACCAAACATAGAAAGAATATGTTGTTTACATTTTTCTTGCTTGTTATTGGACAATTAACATTATTACTTCATTCATTCTGATTACGTTATTCATTATAATATTTTTTGCATTTTCTGAGAACATTTACCATAGTAATGTATATTTTTTTTACACCATCAGAAAGTAGAGATTTCAACGAACAAAAAGCACACCGACTTTTTGAAAAAGCTGATATTTTGACGCGAGAATTTTCAATTGAAAATTAGGGTGCAAAATAAGGCGAAATAATAAATATTTCAAATCAAATAAATTACAGTGTATTTGGGACATAAAAAGGTAAGTTTTCACCAAATTTCGTGGAAAAAATTTTTTTTTTGAAAAAGATAAAAATAAAAAACCAAAAACTTGTTTTTTTGAATTTTTCACATAAATTTTGAGGTTGTGTAAAAAAATAGTAATTACAAAAGTTGTAGATCTTTTTATTACCTACAACTTTGCCATTTAACTTTTTTCCATAGGACTTGTAGTTTTGCCGAAAATCGAGATAAACCATTTTTTACCCTTAAACCCCCCCCTCCCACTTCCCGAAGTCAGATCGCCCGTAATTTATTTTTCCTTTCATTTTTATTATATTCTTCTCCTTTTCCAATGGGTTTCATCCTACTGTTATTTTTTTTGGTTTCAAAAATTATCGACCCTGGTCTATATTTGCTAAATTAAAAAAAAAAGGTAGGATAATATCGCACAGTGATTCAAATTTTAATAAATTGTGGCAAAATTCGCACAGTAGTAAAAATATAAAAAATGGTAGGACAAATTTTTTTATTTTTTCCAATTCCGAAATTTTTAGAAAACAAAACAAACAAAGTACCAACCTGACTCTCGTAACCGCAGCCTTCGCCGTCTTGCTGCTCGACAGCGCCAGCTTCGAGCAAAAGCTTCAAGACTTTTTGATCGGTGGGCAAAAAAGCTCCGAAATTTACCCCGGACATTTCGTTCCCCTCCAAAAGACACTCCTCCACGTTGGCACCGCTGTAAATCAGCCAGAGAACCGTCAAGGTGTGCACGTCAAAACCGTTCGAGGTGTTTTTGTTTTGCTCTTGAGGGTTGGCAAGCGTGTTTATGGTGGTGGTGGACGTAAGTGAGGTTAGGTTTAAATCGTTGGTAGTACTGGTTTTTAGGTTGATGTCGGTGTTTTTCTGGGTCAAATCCGACATCTTGTGGAGCTGATCCAAATTTGTTTGTTGAAGTTTAGGTTCTTTATTATCCAGATCATTCTTGACAGCAACCGCATCCGCATTGTTGGTTTCGACCTTTTTTATTTTGTTAACTGAAGCGTAGATGGGATCTTTATCGGATGCGGGGGTTCTAGCATTCACCAAGTTCACTATTTCGTTGACGTTGACATTCAAATCATTTTTCTCCAATTCCAAGTCCAACTGTAACTGTTGGGTGCTAGGTTCTGTTTCTATAAAACTAGTATCCAACTGGAGGTTTTCCAGTTCGTAATTCAAATCTTTTTCGTAATTTTTCGTCAGCTCTTGCAAAGCTTTTAAGTCTGCATAGATTTCGGTGGAGGTCTTTTCGAGTGAATCAGTTCCTGGAATAATATAATTATAAATGATTGATTAAGAAACTCAACGCTTAAATGCTTACACTCACAGGCAAAATAATCTTCGATGAATTTCAATCGTAAATAACTTTTTTATTTGATTTCGGATTTAAACAAATATTAAAGAATATTGTAGAAACATTAATGCAGAATCGCTCACATTTTAAAAATTACTAAAAAATAGACGTACGTTTATAATATACAGGTTTAAACAAAAATATGTTTTTTACCATAAGTTTAAGACACTCTGTAGAGTGGCAAAACCGTATATTGTTCTAAATTAAGTTTTATTTATCAAGTCACATCTATTCTTAACAGTTTTGTTTTTGGTTCACCTCGATATATATATTTTTGTGGGAAATATGGATTTAAAAAAAAAACATTGCAATTTCCAATATTTTTCTGTATGAAGAACTAAGGTTGCTATGGTCCATCCATATGCTATGGAGAATGACAGTGACAGTTTTGTTGAATCATCCCATACTTGGACATGTCATACACAGCTTTCAAAAGCTATCAAATTGTTTTTTGCAAATTATTGTTTAAATTTTGAGGTGTCTTCTCACTTTAAAAAATGGATATGTCCCCGACTGATGTTGCCAGAGCCATTAATTTAATCCAGGATGGACGGTCACAGTATTACGTGGCAAGTGTTTTAAACGTCACAAGAAATAAAGTACAAAGGGCAACATCAGTCGGAGACATTTTTAAAAGTAAGAAGACACCTCAAAATTAACACATTAATTTACAAAAAACAATTTCATAGCTTTTGAAAGCTGTATGACATGTCCAAGTATGGGATGATTCAACAAAACTGTCACTGTCATCCTCCATAGGCTATGGATGGACCATAGCAACCTTAGTTCTTTGTACAGGAAAAATATTGGAAATTGCAATGTTTTTTAAAAAAATCCATATTTTCCACAAAAATAAATATATCAAGGTGAACCAAAAACAAAATTGTTAAAAATAGATGTGACTTGATAATTAAAACTTAATTTAGAAGAATATACGGTTTTGCCACTCTACAGAGTGTCTTAAACTTATGGTAAAAAACATATTTTTGTTTAAACCTGTATATTATAAACGTACGTCTATTTTTTAGAAATTTTTTAAAATGTGTGCGATTGTCCATTAATTTATCTAGAATATTCTTTAATATTCGTTTAAATCCGACATTAAATAAAAAAGTTATTTGCGGTTGAAATTCATCGAAAATTTGTGTGGATCGATTATTTTGCCTGTGAGTGTATAATGGTATTTTACGGTTAAGTGGAGACTTTTAAGAATGCTAAATGCTGTTTAAATTTAGACGACTTATTTGTTTAACGATTTTTACTGAATTGAAATGTTTTCTTTTAAAAATATTATAATTTTTTGTTTCCTTAATATAATTTGGCAAATTGTTAAAAACTTTGATGCCAGAAAAATAGGGTGACTTTTTAAACAAAGAAGTTGTGTGTCTCGGAGCACATAATCTTGAGCCACTTTTTGTGGAATATGAGTGAAAATTACTATTAGTTCCTAAAATGTAAATGGTGGTCCTAAACCTGATGGAAAAGTTACACCAGTTTACAAAAACGAAAAAAAATTCTGCCCACCATATCCCATTATAATTTTTCCTTGTATTTTGACCCACTAAACACGAAAATCACACTCAATTTTTTTTATGGAAGCGTTTTTGAAATATGAATTTTCAATTGGATTTTTTTCAATTTTCGGAGGTGTTTTGACATTTTTGAGTATAGCTTAAATCTAATTGATCGATTTGGTCAAACAAGCCCTTAAATTATGGCAAGCCGTTTTGCCATTTAACAACACAATTTTTATTCAACATCATGGAAAATAATATAATGAAAATTGTTGCAAAAAATAACTACATATTGGAAAGGTGTTGATGTTGAATTTTAATTCAATAAATTATTTTTAATACGTCTATAAATATTATAATTTTTATTTGAATCTTATGTTAACTTGCAATGTTTTTCCTATGGTAATATTAATTCAAGTATTTAAAACGATCCAGAAAATAACTTTATTGCTGGAATTAAAATTATGTTTAATATAATTTTAATTTCTAGAATTAAAATTATATTCTAGTATAATTTTAATTCGTGATTTAAAATTATGTAGAGTATAATTTTATATAGGCGTAATAAAATTAAGTGTACATAATTTTTATTCAATTAAAATTATGCACACATAATTTTAATTTCAGAATTAAAATTGTACACACATCATTTTTATTCCTGAATTAAAATTATACACACATCATTTTAATTTACATAATTAAAATTATACTATACATCATTTTAATTCAATTAAAATTATACCATTCATCATTTTAATTGAATTAAAATTATACTGTACATAATTTTAATTGAATTAAAATTATCTACATAATGTTAATTTGGCAACGCCGCAATCGCGAAAGGTATGCTAACGCTAGAATGTTCCTTTTTTTGGTAACTTTTCGTTTGGCTAGTTGGTAATGTGGCACTTAAATCACAGAATAGTTCTGTGCTTAAATTACTTTTTCAATGTAAACTTCTAATTAACAAACCTTCACCTTGAAGTTAATTGTAAGTTAAAACAACGAGCGTTTTTCAATATAAATTTTAACGGTAGTAAACTAAACATCGCCGATGTTACATCGGTTAGCTATATATTTTGTCAGGTTGGCAATAAAAAAACGTGAATTTGAACTACTGTACACAAAACTAGTTTTGTGCTACTGTATTGTGTTTAACCTCCAAAACATAGATGATAAATCAAAATCTGAAGTTTCGCTGTATTTTTAATAAAAAAAATAATAACAAAAATGTATTCTACATTTGTAGAATAATAAAATATAAGTGCTGTTCTTGACACACCACCCAAATCACCAGCAACACTTAAAAAACATCCAGTGGCATAAAATCTTAAGGCAATTAAAACTTGATTTGTGGGACTCATTTCTAAAAAATATGATTTCCATATTAGGTACACTTATTTATATACCTTTCAGTAGGATTGTGTCTTCAATTTCTGTTTTGGACAACCCTGCTTAAAATACCCCATAGAGACCCTGTTCAAACCGATAGATATTTGTATCGGAATGTATGGTGTTTCTATAGGGTGTATCGGTATGTATAGGACCCATAGTTGGGATTTATGGTTGTTCTATTGGGATATCCACCCTTGATTTATTTTCTATTGGTTTCAATGGGGAAAATACACATAAATGTAGAAATTAGTTTTTCCCCATAGGGCCCCATAGGTTTTAATAAAATTTTGTTTAATGTTTTATGGTTGCTCTATAGGGATATCCCCATATATCTTTCATTGAGTTATTTGCTATCGGTCTCAATAGGGAAAATGTAAAAGTTATGGTGTGCCTATGGGTAATTTCCTATACATTTTCTATCGGGCTGAAACCGGAAAAAAAACATGGAAAATGCACATATTGAATCCGGTAGTGCCCGATAGATTATTTTGTATTTTATGGGGTATTTTAAGCAGGGAACTCCTTTCGACAAACGAAATCTCCGAAAGAAGTCAATTTATTCGTATTCTTCATAAAAGTTTGGACGCACTCTTATAATTTTAGAACGCCTTACGGGACCTTCTTCATCATCGCTAAACGCGTTTATAAGATCTAAATTAAGGGGATCAAAATTCATTTTCACCAGATAAATTCTAAACAATACAGATGTTTATAAATATATTAAGATTTTGAGGTTATGAATTGGAGTTTACCTCTGCTCTTAGTAGCGATTAACCGACAATAAACATGTGATAATCTTTTAACTGATAATTGAAAAACATTTATTTTACATAAACTAAAGGTTAACTCAAGGTTGCAGATAATCTTAAGTTTATTTGATATTGAAGAACCGGCCCTAAATTGTTTAATTGTAATCCCACCAACAGACTGTTGGCAACAGTGTTCCCAGTGGGAACACTGTTGCCAGGCGGTATTTGGTGGGAACTTCCCACCAAATACCGCCTGACATATTACCACACTAGCCAAACGAAAAGTTACCAAAAAAGGAACATTCTAACGTTAGCTTTCGAGATTGCGGCGTTGCCGAATTAACATTATGTACATAATTTTAATTCAATTAAAATTATGTAAAGTATAATTTTAATTCAATTAAAATGATGTGTAGCATAATTTTAATTCATTTAAAATGATGGATAGTATCATTTTAATTTTGTGAATTAAAATTATGTGTGTATAATTTTAATTCTGGAATTAAAATTATATGTGCATGGTTTTAATTTACATAATTAAAATTATACTATATATCATCTTAATTGAATTAATATTATGTACACATCATTTTAGTACGCTCATTTAAAATTATACTCTACATAATTTTAAATCACGAATTAAAATTATACTCGACATCATTTTAATTCCAGAAATTAAAATGATGTTATACACCATTTTAATTCAAGCAATAAAAATTATATTCTACATCGTTTTAAATAATTAAATTAACATTATTATATAAAAAACATTGCAACTTAAAATAAGTTTCAAATAAAAATTAAAATATTTGTGCACCTATTAAAAAATAATTCATTGAATTGTAATTTAATATCAACACCTTTGCAATATGGAGTTATTTCTTGTAACATATCATTTTCATACAGTTACAATAATTTTTGACGATGAATTCAACATGTGCAAGGCATGTATTGTTTCAGAAAAATTGATGTAATTGTAATAAGGTATCATAAAAATTGAACCGAATTAAACCAAAGATTTGGACAAATTAAAAATAAATTAAAATTAATTTCACAAAGTTGGCAAGCCCTTTTATTATTTAATGTATTTTTAATTAAATTTATGTACAACTAAATTTTAAATAATCCATTATTTATCAAACATAATGGAAATTTTAACCATTTTAAATACGGTGAATTTTATATCCCTAGCCCAAAAATTGTACATTAAATAGTAAAACGGCTTGCCATATTAAATTGAAGGTATTTGAGCTAGAGATGCGACTTGAAAAAAAACGGTCCGTTTTTTTTTCATTGTTTTTTTTCAAATGGTTTTTTTTCAAAATTAGTCCCATTTGCCTAATTTTTTATGTTTCCATGGACTAAAATTAGCCACTAAATGACAATTATAATATTAATGTAAATACAGTCTCGCGCTATGCACGCGCCACCACCACTGAATTGACCAATAAGGGCCGCGCTTGTTTTGATTTGGTCCTAAAAAAGTAACTATATTTAATATTTTTGATTTAGGGCTTTATTCTTCAAAAAACTACCAAAAGCACTTTTTTCATGATTTTTCAAATTCATGTAGAGTATACATATATGGAATTTTTTTTCAAAAAAACAATAGCAAATTCTTATAGAACATTTATTCATTGGTGGTTAAGTCCAAACATTCCGTGGACCAAAAAAGAAAGCAAAAAAAAATCAATTTTTTTTATTACGGTATTTGTTAGAATTGAGCGTTGCACATTTTTCATCTAAAAATCTCAAAACTAGAAACTTTAAGCTTCAAAATGCTTTTTTTACGGCTCCAATACGACCATTTTTAACAAAAATGTATCCTTTAATTTTTTATATTAGTGTAGAATTTTTACATTGCTATTGGTTTCTAATGTGGAAACTACCAAATAATAAGAAATCAGATTTTTTGGTCAAAATTTTCAATAATGAAAAATGTACTATATTCTACATTTCTCTTTATTATTAATATACATTTTACTCAAAATTTAATTTTGAAAAAAAACAAAAAAAACCGTTTTTTTCTAGGTTTTTTTTATGTTTTTTTTCACATCTGAAAAAAACCGTTTTTTTACATCTCTAATTTGAGCCCTCTAAATCTTTCTTTTACATACTTTTGATATTTTGACGCTATCGATTTTAATAACTTAAAAAAATCGTTTTTATGGCAAAAATTGAGGTCGAAAATTTACATATCGTCCTGGGAAAGGTTTAAATCAAACAGATAACTCCAGTTTGATTTTTTTGTGAAGCTGACATTTTTACAAAAAAAACAAGCTAATGTTGATAAAAATACATGGAAAAATGGCGAAGTTGAAAATGAAAACCTAAGTAAAGTGCATGTTTGGATTTTTTTGAGTTTATTACGTACTTTTTTCATCAAAATCATTATTCAAAATTTAAATTTGACATGACTCCGCAAAGGTGAATTCTTTTGTTTGTCGTGTTGGCATAGTGACATTTTACTGCTATTTTTTGATATTTCAACAAGGTATTTTTATCATGGTTTTATTTAGTTAATAAAAAGTGTAAAATGAGTAAAAGAAGTGGAGAGTTCGAGTGCGTAAATAACCCGCACAATCTGGGCGACGTAAGTGATGAGCACGGAGAACGTTTTCACCAGCAGAGTAACGTAAACATTTTATATGTGATTATAATGGTTTTAAAAAATACTCACCCAAAGTACTAGTATTCTTCCCATCTTGCGTCAATTTAAACAACGTTGGGCACTTCTGGCTGGGCTTTTCGCTCAAAAATTGCTCCATCCTGGTCAAATGAAAGGCGTAGTCGTAAATCTCCTGGACGTTCAAAAGTTTGGCGTGCAAGGTGTAGTACATCGCCAAGATGCAGTGCCCGTTAAAAATGTTGCACAAAAATTTCTGCGTGCAATGTTTGATGTCGAGCAACCAGTCTGCGAAGGAGTGATGAAAAAGCGAGATGACGCCGATTTTGTTGATGATGATGACGCGTCTTAGCAGCGAGAATCTCTTCTTGAAGTCTTCCGAGGTTACTTTTGGGTTGTACACTTTAATAATGTCAAAGAGTAGCGTCTCGCTTAATGCGCATTTTGCCGCCAATATAACATTCAGAAGTGGCTGAACTTTAGAGAATTGTCTTCTGTTGAACAATCTTTGACATAACCACAGATACAAACCGTTTAACGTCCCGGGGATTTCCCTGACCTCTCTGAGGACTATGAAGTTATCCGACACCCCATCCAGAACTTTTTCCAGATACAAAAAACAACCGTTGGATTTTATGTGCAGTTGGTTGAGCATTTCAGCCGTATCTCGCGATATATGCTGCCTGAGACTGTTCTCTTGGTCCAACCGCGCCAAAATGTACTGCTGAACATCTCTAACCACCTGAGATTTTCTCAAATCATCCAGGGATAGTTTTCTGAAGCCTGTAAACATCTTCGCGATGCTTTTTGACTGCTTTTTGGCGGTACAAACCAGTAGTAACCATTGCGGCAGTAGATGATGGTGGTTGGCCAGTAATTCCGCAATTGTCTTGCTTTGGCTGGACCTCTCTCTGGGTTTAGACCGCGTTAGGGTGCTATTAGAGTAAACGAAGGAATGCTCGTCGATGGAGTCGATCAAAATGAAGAGGCTTTGTTTTGGGGGGTCAATTTCCAGCAGAGGAAACAGTAGAGCTCTCTTGAGACAGTCATCAGGGTTCTGCTCTATGTTTTTGGCCCTTAGCGCTATCTGTATCTCGGGGTCCAACTTTAACTTCTCCAAATAGGCATCTGCAATTGTAGTTCTGGGGTTTATTGGTAAGTCTATGGATTTTTTGGTGTCTGTATTGGGTGAAATGTTGCTGTAAAGACCTTCAGAGTTGCTTGTGATATTTTGCTCGTAACCTATGTTGTTTGACCCCCCTTCAAGCACCTTAGCGGCTTGTTTACGCCGTATGGATCTTTCTTTGTGACTTTCCGTGCTGTGGTTTAAAATCTGCGTCACCAAAGACCTAACGAACTCGCTCAAAGATAAACTTTTCTCGTTATGACCCTGCAGGAAGTGGTAGCACAGCAATCTGCGGTTCAGAGCCCTCTGTTGTCTACCGGTCGGACCGCTGCTAGGATAGGCCAACTCGGTGCATAATGTGGTTTTTCCGCAACCACTTCCACCCAAGAGTAAAACTCCGCAAGTTTTCGACACCGTTCTTTGATCGAGACAGTGCGATAACTTTTGGAAGGCCCAGTCTCTGCAGTAGAACTTTTTTTTGTCTTCCCCGCTAGACATCTTCATTTGTTGTTTTTTTTTTTGATTTAGTCTTTTTTCTAGTGTTCGGAGTGAGACATTTTTATATCACTGTTTTGGACGTTACGGGTTTGGTTTAAGGCTTCTTATGCATTTTTTTGGTTGGTGTTAGGTTGATTTTTTTGGTTTACGGCATTTTCTGAAACAAACAAGATTTTTTCTGATCAAAATAATTTAGTTTTGCTTGTTAATAAGTATTGGCAGGGTTGTAGCTAGGTGTTTACGAGGTGTGTTCAGAATATAACGGGAATTGTTAAATTTCGCGGGTTCATAGGGTCAGGTTGTCATAAAATTTTCTTTATTATGTTGGTGTACATGCCCCCGAAGTATGATAAAAACTTTAGCTGTTTTCATTGTTTACTTTGTCTGTGGCAGCCGCTAAGGTTAGACGTGTTTTATGAGCTCGGCGATTTTTCGTTCGTTAAAAGAAATGGATCAAAGAATTTGTATCTAATTTTGCTTAAAAAATGAAATAAATTCTGTGAAATGTTAACAAAGGCCTATAGTGAGTCTGCTATAAGTAAAACAAGAGTTTACAAGTGGTATAAGAGTTTCCAAGATGGCCGTGAAGACGTTGAAGATGACGAACGCCCCGAACGTACAAGCACATTAACAACCGATAAAAACAGGGAAAAAGTGGATGAAATGGTTATAAACCATCAGAGAAGTCGCTGATGATGTTGGTATATCGATTGGCTCATCCCATGAAATTTTTTCGAATGTTTTGGGTATGAAACGCGTGGCAGCAAAATTTGTTCTAAAATTGTTAAATTTTGAACAAAATTTTTGGCCAAAAACAAAACTGTAATGATGCCCTAGCCTCCATATTCGCCAGGCATGCCTCTGTCTGACTTTTTCCTATTCCCAAAAATAAAACAAACCTTAAAGGGCCGTCGTTTTGCAAGCATAGATGACATTAAATGCGCATCGCTGAAAGAACTAAAGGCTATCCCAAAGATCGAGTTTTAGAAGTGTTTTGAGTATTGGAAGAAGAGCTGGCACATGTGCATAATATCCAATAGGGACTATTTTGAAGGCGACAACATTAATGTAGACGAATAAATAAATATTTGTTTCAAAAAACGAAAATTCCCGATATTTTCTAAACACACCTCGTATAAATATAAATAAATTGAATAATACATCAATTTAACAATTTTTTTTTTACCTAAAAAGTTTTGCAGTTTTTTTCTATTTTTATAGAAACAACATTTGTGTAATATGTCCGCTTTCGATTCTAAATTACTCATAAGACAAAAAGCAATTTATAATGGTGTCAAGAAATTATTATACCTAATGATTAAAAGAACCATAATATATATCTATCAACCTCTCTTGTTTTGCCTAATTCCTTGAAAATAATAATATGAATATGAACTTTTTTTAATTTTTTTTGATTTTTTATTACAAAGGTTTGCCATATTTATGTAACAAACTACATAATATGTATGTAACCAGCAAAATCATAAGTCTGATTATGTATTACATAGTTTCATGGCATTTTTAGCCTTTATATGGCCTTTAGTTCATTAAAGGTTTATAAAGGGCCGTTATAGAACCTTTACAGTTGTGTTTATGGGGTATATACATATCATATTAATTTGTATGTTTTTATTTTAATTTTTTTTCTATCCTGCATTGGTATTTTGGGAATAAAATTCAAAATAAAAAATATAGTTACATAATGGTGCTTTTATAAATCATTAGATGCAGTGTGACCCATTTGTTTGCGACTCACCCCTGTAAAATCTTTATTATTTGTGAGATTTTAACAGCATTTGTTTTAAAGTGTAGATCTTGATAAACTGTATTTTTAAAACAAAAACGCTATATTTTTACAAAATACAAAGTCTACTATGTCAGTTTTTACGAGTAAATTTTTAAGAATTCATATTAGCGATTTTTTAAACAAAATCTAAGCACGGCACTGGATTCAAATAAAATTAAACTAAATAGTATTAGTACCATGTTTATAGTAGGCCTTGTATTTTGTACTAATATGGCGTTTTTTCTTCCAAAAATACAGTTTATCAAGATCTACACTTTAAAACAAATCCGATTAAAAAATAAACGTCTGTAATTAAAAAAAATGACCATCAATTCATAATAAAAAAGTTAATTATTAGAAAAATCTATGAAATAAAAAAAATTGTAAAATAGTAACAGAAGCATCAAAAATTTCAGTAAAAATTACCTAAATTAAAAAAAAACCTATTATTGTATTTGTTATTTTTTATATTAAATATAGGCTTGTAAATTTATAAGGCGATGTAAGATAATAATTATTGTTACATATACAGTTATAAATGAAAATTTAGTTTATATGAGGAATTAATTAATTTTTTAAGGTCAACCATGACTCATGGTGTAAGAAACTCTTCCAAGTGTTTAAATTAGCCCAAAATTATGTAAATAACTTTTGTGAATAATTAAATATAATCAAATTATAGTAGGTAGTATTGTAAATTATGATAATATTTTTATGAATCAATTGGTTGTATTAATAAAACTTTGATAATACTATCTTAACATAAACATGACTAATATTTTGTTTATGTTGTTTTTTGTGGTTAATCGCGTAAACATCGAAACAAACACAAAAAAAACAAATAAAAGTGACAGAAATTACATCAATCCAAAAAACAAAATACATCTAAAAATACCTGAACATCATAACACCCACATTAGTATTAAATCAGTCAAAAACGGCGAAAATTAACAAAAACTCACTTAAATAATAGGCACGGAGTGTCCAGGATTCACTAAACGCGCTGTATATCAGTTATATAACACAATTTTGTTGTATTTTCCCGATTTTTTCCCCAAATTTTTTGGTTAGGGCCTTTAGTCTGTCAAATTAGCGAGGCTTACTAAAGACGCCGCTGGGTGGCGCTTTCCATATCGATGCATTTATTCCATAGAGCCAAAAAGAATAGATAGATCTAGTAAAAACTGAAATAAATCTCAATTGGTATTTTGTTTTTGTTAAGACGTGTTAAAATATGGTTACTGATGCGTGTAATATAAAATTGAGTCTACATTTTTTAAATAGGTTATAGGTATCTAGCTTAAGTTGACATTCTCATAAGAATGTTCTCTATCTAAAAATATTATAATATGTATATGAATGAATCTCACAAAATGTCCCCCGATGGTGTTACCCCGTGATATTTAATAAAACTAAATGAGTTTGACCTACACTTTTATTGTGTTTTGATCTTTCATAATTAAGTAGATATTACAGCTTAGGTTTCAGATTTTTAACCGCAATTAAATATTTTTTACAATGTTTTAAAAGTCTAAAACCTATCCTCCGTGACTGTTACTCTTTCTAGGTTAACCTACATATATGTTTTCAAATATCTGAGGTAGTAAAAGCATACTAAAAATATCAGTTCACTAAGTAAATTAAACACATCCAAAGCAATCGAATCAAATATAAAATATTATTAAAAATTAAAAGAAATTATTTTTAACCACTTAAGTGGTTAATTAATAATTATGTAGGTGTTACAAAAATTGATTTTATCCTCCGTGAATCTGTTTTTGCTTCTAATTTTATGCAACGAATGGCGCTTTAATCATTTTAAATAAGCAAAAACTTCTGTTTACGACATTATAGATGCATGTGATTCCTGAAGGTCAGTTAGAATTTAGAGTGTTGCTGTTTTATAATGCAAAAGTTTAAATTCATTAATTTGCTATTTAAAAACCTATCCACCGTGAAGTGTAATATCTCAGTAGGTAGATTTTTTATACGCTGTGGCTCCCGTCCCGAGGCGGGACTTAAGTTCAGTCCCGATTGACGTCATAATTTTAAGATTTGTTATGTTATAATAAAATAATAATAATAATAAATTGTACCTTACATGTTAAGGGCACTTTAGTTACGTCATAAAACCAAACCAACCCAAACTCAACAACACAACCCAACCGACCCCGCCCCATTGGGCCCCCCCCGCCCCATTGAGCAAAAAACCCAACTAAAATGGGCAAATTTATGTTACGATAAAAATAAAACACTTTTTAACAAAGAAACAACAAATTTATAAAATAAAAAAAATAAAAAAAGTTTGACAACTTCTAGTGGGATCGAACCCGGTACCTCTCGAATGCCAAGCGACCGCCCTACCATCTAAGCCATCCAGCTTGACACCAATTATAAAAGCTCGGGGAATAAAAACGGATTTACAGTGTGTGACGTCTGTCGGGATCGAAGTTAAGTCCCGCCTCGGGACGGGAGCCACATCGTTAAAAAAAACATACGAAATCCTAACCTCCGTGAAGCTATCTTCCGTGAAGCTCTAATATTTAAAATGGATGATTTCTTAAAATATCGTATGTCAAAATTTAAAATAAATGAAAATGAAGTTTTTATTACCTATAGGTATGTGTTTTTATTACCTATACATATATGTAAATAAAATTAAAATAATAATTTCAAGTATCATTATTTAGGCAAAAAGTTTTTTGTTTTATCATAACGAAGCTTTGTCATGATACATTTTTAATCTTTGATTTACTCTCTCTATTTTCTTTAAGCTCGATGGTTTCAAGCGCAATATTTAAATTGAGCGTCCCATTCAAATAAAATTCACACCATAATTTTATTTAAATCCACCTTCACCACATAAACAATAAAATTAATTATTTATAAGACCCGAACAATGGACAATTAAGTCAAAAATGACACTTTCAAAATTTTAAATGAAGAATTAGATCAAAATTTAAGAGAAATCGGGATCATCATCAAAAATTAATTGTGAGAATATTATTTTTTGAAAAAATGGCATGCAAAAAATGCGGATACAATTGTGGAAATGAAAAAAAATTTTGCTATACAAGCTACATTTGTTGTTGTGAGTATTAACTTTGTTACTTTGGTTTTAAAATCCCCATAAATCAAAATAAAACAGCTATATAAATATACACATTATATCAAAATATACTTTACGATATTATCTGCCATCTAGTGGTAAATAGATGAACTAAAAAAACGTCACTACAAATTACAGGAACCTGTATTCTTACTTAAACTCTTAGTATACAAATTCATCACTAGATGGCGCTAGTAGCAAAAAGGGTTGTTCCTGGTAAAAAAATGTTTTTTTTAATAAATCGTGAATAAAATTATTTTTTTAGGTAAATGTGGTCAATCTCTTTGTAAAGAGACGGCCATATGCTGGTTGGGTGAGTATTTTTGTTCTAGTTGCAAACCGGAGTGTATAGACCCATGTTGCGATGGAATAAAATTTTGCAAAATTTGCTCATCTAGAAGTATCAGTGTGCCATGTTGCAAAAATAATAATTCGAATTTTGGTTGTAAGGCTTTTGAGTCGCAATGTTGTATGAAGGTAAAAAAAGGTTTATATGGGTGATTCTACAAAAGTTGGACAACTTAATGTCATCAGTCAATAGACTAGGTATTTTAATATTTTTTTTAAATATTTTAGTATATTACAAAAGATCCAGGTTTTTTTAACTTGTCCACCCAATTTTAATGTATTTTTTCAAAAGCACGTTTGTAGAAAAACATAATAAATATTCAAAACATCAGTACCTTGGCGTGTCACAACTCCTGAATCAAATATTTGAGTGATTTTATTTTAAAATATATTCAATTTATCTTAAATTTCACTACAAACTATAAAACATTAAATAATGTATTTTTTATATTTTATCATAAATTCAAATAATTTTTAAAAAATTGATAATTTTTGTACTCACTTTTACCCGTCAGTTCTGGGTCCAATGTTAAAATTCAAAATTCCTGCAAAATATTGAAGTTTAAACGTCAAGTCCTCGTTTTAACTCAAGTGTTGGTAAAAAATTACCTACAGAGCCCGCCCTTTGCACGACAGTCAACTTGAAAACAATGCAAGCGGCGAAGTTGTGGTGAATGCACGTATAGTGCCAGCCAAAATTTCAGTACTGTGGTGAGTAATTATTTTCTTACGTATATATTTCATTGTAATTTATATAAGGCTATATGTGATTTGTCGATAAGTAGCATCCACTAATAAAAAATAATTCCGAATTATAATCTCAAATTTGTATCTTATCATCAGTACCGTGTCGTCAGTTCCATGTTCGATGTTTCGGTTATCTTTTTTTCGCAAACTTCAATTTAAATTCTGCTTGCGCAGAACTTGTTTATTTAATGTCATTATAAACTCATATAAATTTGGTGTGGGTCCCATATCTAATAATTGAGATATCGGTATACCCAAAACCCACCAGACGCCACTGATGTGTGGTATTATTTTATTTTAAGATATTTAATGTATAATATGGTCAAAGTTGCAATAAATCTTATATTTATCAATTAATTATGTATTTAATTAGTATTCTGGTATACTCGTCACTTCCCTTGCATTCAAATTTAGAAAACAAAGATATTTCAGAAACTGTTTGAAAAAGTGACTGGCCCGGTCTGGAACAGTATATTTATTATATTATCTATGTTCTCATGACAAAATACTGTTTAATTTTCTCCGAAAACTATATAAACAAAATGAGGTCAAAAGTTGCCCAACTTTTGTAGAATCACCCATATATTTTTTATTTTTTTTATTTTTATAATTAAGTATTTTAGAGGACAAGGTCTTGCTGTGCATTTCCCAGTCAAAAAACATGGAACTGGCCAATTCCTAGAGAAACAGCAAACTTTTATAATAGAAATCACAATAGACCCAACTTGTTTGACAAGTAAGTTAATCATTTTTGAATTAGTGCCATTTTAAAATTTTTATAAGTAAAGTAGAATATTTGGGCCGCCACCGGTTGTTCCTGACGCAAAACATTCTTGCACAGTGGGCAATAATCTACATTCATTAAAAATTACAAGTGCAAATGATTATTTTTTATTTTTGGTTTCACTGTTAGTCTAAAGTGGGGTTTTTGGGAAGCCACCGGTTGTTCCTGACGCAAAACATTCTTGCACAGTGGGCAATAATCTACATTCATTAAAAATTACAAGTGCAAATGATTATTTTTTATTTTTGGTTTCACTGTTAGTCTAAAGTGGGGTTTTTGGGAAGCCACCTGGTCTAGTAATAACATAACATAGTGGTTCTGCACTAATGCAAGAATTTTAAGAAATCATACATTGTGAATATTAGAGCTTCACGGAGGTTAGGATTTCGTATGTTTTTTTATCATCCCTTTGTATATTTAAAATAAGTTATTGTATCTTTTGACACCTTAATATTTTTTAAAAATACAATTGTAGGTACATACATAAAATATTTATAAAAAAAAATCTACATACTAAGATATTACACTTCCCGGTGGATAGGTTTTTAAATAGCAAATTAATGAACTTAAACATTTGAATTATAAAACAGCAACACTCTCATCTGCATATAAATTCTAACTGACCTTCAGGAATCACATGCATCTATAATGTCGTAAACAGAGGTTTTTGCTTATTTAAAATGATTAAAGCGCCATCCGTTGCATAAAATTTAAGGCAAAAACAGATTCACGGAGGATAGAATCAATTTTTGTAACGCCTACATAAATGGTTATAAAAATTATTTTTTTTAATTTTTAATAATATTTTATATTTGATTCGATTGCTTTGGATGTGTTTAATTTATTAGTGAACTGATATTTTTAGTATGCTTTTACTACCTCAGATTTTTAAAAACATAGGATAGGTCAGTGATTTTGAAAAGGGTGTTTTTTTAGACAAAGTAAAAACACATTTTTTTTTAGTTGCTGTACAAGATTCGATAAAAAATGTGGGTGCAACGAACTAAAAGATTGTTGTGGGAGAAAATGTAAAAAAGTTCCTAAATGTCCTATGATCATCAAAAAACCTACCCCTGTGAGTATTTAGTTATTAATAATCTTCCATTGGCATTTAAACATTCTGTATTCTGTAAAATAAAATTAAAATCAAAATCAAAATCAAAATCAAAATCAAAATCAAAATCAAAATCAAAATCAAAATCAAAATTAAAATTAACTACCTTAAAAATTTGTAAATTAATGAAAAACAGTTAGAATGTTAAAAACAATAAAAAGTATATTATTTCATAGAACGAATGTATCCCAAAAGAGTGTTGCTCAATTTTCAACTGCACGATAAAAAATTGCAGTGACAGTTGCGTTCCTAGTACCAGAGGTTGTTCAAGGGGATGTTCCCCTCCCCCTTGTCAAAATAGAGGTTGCGGATCCCCTATAAGATGCCCCCCGAGAAAAGTATGTTGCCCCCCAAATGAATGCGGAGAAGGTCCCAGGTAATGTTTTTTTTTTAATTTCAATTTTATCGTAAAAATGTTTTCTCGTCCCAAATAGCGATTTTAATAAATTCAGTTTTATAGTTTTCATAGTTATTTTATACCGTCATTCTTATTATTTTAACCTAAACAGATTTTTAATTTTCTATTTTGTTATAAATCATTTTTTTTCTTTAAATATTATGTTTTTACACAATTCAAAAATTATACTTAATAAAAATAATATTTTTTTTTAATTATACATATAATTAATAATTTCTGTTTTTAATTTTTGATTTTTTTGAATAAAACAACAGATTTGTATTTATCTTATGTATATTCAATATATGTATTTAAAATTATTATTAAAATTATAGGTGCTACGATCCCTGTAAGAATATTAAAAAATCTTGCGCCCCCCCACCGTGTTGTCCCCAAAAAAACCCATGCTACAAGCCCAGATGTAGACCTAGAAACTGCTCACCTAAATGTACTACAGCCTCCCCAAAATGCAAAAGATTGGTTCTGGACGACTGTCAAAATTTTTGCTGTCTATCAAAATGTCCACCTAAAGATTGCCAAAAGTAAGTTACATTAACATGTCGACCACTACACTTTTTAGCCTTTATCTATGGGCTAAGCCCTTGCTAGATGCCTGAAGACAACTTGTGGACCCAGTTTTCAAGATGGAATTTTTGTCATGGTTTAATAAAAATAACAGTTATGTTTTTTATGAATAGAAATCCCTGCGCAGAAAAAAAATGTTGCTGCATAGCAAAGGAGTTCACAAACTGCCACAAGTTTTGCAAACCTCTAAAAAGACCAGTAAATTGTTTACCTGAAATAAAATGCTGTGGAAAAGGGTTTTCTTATAATAAATGTGGGGAACCATGTTGTGTAAGTACTATACAGAGTTTCCCATAATAAAAAACCAGTCCTATAGCTATAGCTGGGTGAATATATTGAGATGTCCCCCAAGTGAAAATGATTATTTTTTATTTTTGGTTGATTCACTGTTAGTCTAGAATGGGGTTTTTGGGAAGCCACCAGGTCTAGTAATAACATAACATAAGTGGTTCTGCACTAATGCAAGAATTTTAAGAAATCATACATTTTGAATATTACAGCTTCACGGAGGTTAGGATTTCGTATGTTTTTTTTAAACATCCCTTTGTATATTTGAAATAAGTTATTGTATCTTTTGACACATTCATATTTTTTTTAAATACAATTGTACATACATCAAAAATTTATAAAAAAAATCTACTTACTGAGATATTACACTTCACGGTGGATAGGTTTTTAAATGGCAAATTAATGAACTTAAACTTTTGAATTATAAAGCAGCAACACTCTCATCTGCATATAAATTCTAACTGACCTTTAGGAATCACATGCATCTATAATGTCGTAAACAGAGGTTTTTGCTTATTTAAAATGATTAAAGCGCCATCCGTTGCATAAAATTTAAAGCAAAAACAGATTCACGGAGGATAGAATCAATTTTTGTAACACCTACATAAATGGTTATAAAAATTATTTCTTTTATTTTTTAATAATATTCTATATTTGATTCGATTGCTTTGGATGTGTTTAATTTACTTAGTGAGCTGATATTTTTAGTATGCTTTTACTACCTCAGATATTTGAAAACATATAGGTTAACCTAGAAAAAGTAACAGTCACGGAGGATAGGTTTTAGACTTTTAAAACATTGTAAAAAATAATTAATAACGGTTAAATATCTGGAACCTGAGCTGTAATATCTACTTAGTTATGAAAGATCAAAACACAATAAAAGTGTAGGTCAAACTCATTTAGTTTTATTAAATATCACGGGGTAACACCATCGGGGGACATTTCGTGAGATTCACCCAGCTTTATTTGATTACAATTGAGGGGCCTAGAAGTAAAAGGGTTTAAGTGCATTTTTGTTGGTTCTGAGATAAATGGCTTTAAAGTTAACTTGAATTTTAAAATTCTAGAAAAGAGTTTAAAAAACTGTGTGAATATTTTAGTTTTGTTTAAAGACTAAAAAGGATTATAAAGAAAAAGAAATTTTTCAATTTGGCTTTTTTGTTAATTTTTTTTACAAAAATGTACTTGAATCGTCATGCATGTAAGACAAAATTTAGTGGTAAAATGATTTACTGTACTAGAACAAAACTTTATTTTTTAAAATTTGGGTAATTATAATTACTAAACTTAAGTTTTACAACAAAAAGTATTATTCATAATCAGAATCTAATACAACGTTTTCTTCATCTGAATTAGCTGGTCTTGGTTGGGGTTGACCTAAATAGGATTTTTTTTGGCTCAATACTATGGTCTTAGTTTGTTTCTTTTTTTTCTTTTTTTCTGATGGATCTCGATCGTGCTCCATGTTTTTATAAAATAAGTGGTAAATTGGCGGAATATAGTCCAATAAGGTACCTAAGTAAATTTTTGTGCTTAGCGGCTTTTTTTTAGTTTTTGCTGGAGTTACATGGCCTTCTTCTTCTACTTTTTCATTGATGTTAGGAACATAGTTACTATGTTGAATCCTCATCAGTCTGGACCGTTCCGACCCCGGTCACACTATGTCAAAACGAGCTACTTGTCAAGGCTTTAGCAGCATAGATAATAGCCCTACACGGTGCTGTTCTGAGAGGTGATTTTTGGACTTTCTGTGAAACCTTATTTTTTTTATATTCTTGTTAATTAGGTCATAACTAAAATTTTAAGAGCAAAATAAAAAAAAATTGACGGTTTGAATTGTTTTAATTGGCTGTTTATTAAAAATATTATGCACTCTTTCAATTAAAACTAGCGATTTAATTTAAATATTTAATATTTGCATAACTAAAAAAAAGGTTTTTACATTTTTTTTTATATATTTTACTGTTTTGTTGCAATAAACGTTCAAACTTTTAATCTAACCTTTGACGTATACATTTATGTTCCCTTAATTAATATATCCTTAAAGGTTGCCAGGAAACTTAGATCTATTAAAAATTTATTTGACGTTTGAATTGTCATTTTCAGTATACGTATTCTATAATTTTTGTTTAGTTTTTTAAAGTGTTTTTTATAAACAAAAATGAAAAATTGTAGTAAAAGTTACGAAGAAATTCATGAAATTTAACTAAGGACCGGTTTATTCATCTTTAGTAAAGTTTATCGGGCCGATAACTTTTATGTCTTGGCAATATCTAGTATCCAAAGAAATTATTCGTCAAATAAATTAAAAATGAATAAATCGGCCCTAAATAAAATGTGGCACCCTTAGAATTATTGTTTAATAAATGTATACTACATTTAACCTTAAATTAAAACTTTAAACGTGTATTACAACAAAACAGTAAAAGATATAAAAAATGTATAGACCTTTTTTTAGGAAATTAACTAATCTTTAATCTGATTTAAAAAGTTATGATAATATTTAAATAAAATCGCAAGTTTTAATTGGAGAATTGAAAGTGTGCATACATATTTTTAATAAACATCCAATTAAAACAAAATTAACCGTCAATTTTTTTTTATTTTGCTCTTAAAATTTAAGTTATGACCTAATTAGCAAGAATATAAAAAAAATTAGGTTTCACAGAAAGTCCAAAATCACCTCTCAGAACAGCACCGTGCCCTATGTTTAGGTGCCCTTAAATCGTTTTACCAAAGATATATTTTAAAATATTTTGACAGGTTTTTAAAGACGATAAGAAATGGCGCCAGGGAATGTAAAATGTACTTATATAATTTTACCACCAAGTTAGAATATTCTTTAGGTGTGATATTCTGCACTTAGACCATTTATTTAAAAAAGTGCACTTGAACCGTTTTACTTCCAAGCCCCTCAATTATTAATAATGAAATAATATTAACTTTCGATTTTTGAATGGAACGCCCTATATATTTTTACATATTTAGAATCCTGAGAAAATTCTGAGTTGCACAGCATCCCCAAATTGACCTTTCGAAGTTTCGTCATCAGAAAATGCATCATCATAAATATCAATCTAGAGTGCTTTGAACTATTTGAGAAAAACGAATTTTGACAAGCTTAGACTGCCGGAAATAGCTGAATAACAACTTTCTAAGGCAAGTTCCATTTTTCAGGCATTGTGTGAATCCTTGAGAAGAAAATAAGATAGTTCAAAGCACTCTAGATTGATCTTTATGATGATACATTTTCTGATGACGAAACGTCAAAAGGTAAATTTGAGGATGCTGTCTGACTCAGAATTTCCTCAGGATTCCAAATGTGTAAAAATATATAGGGCATTCCATTTAAAAATCGAAAGTTGATAAAATTTCCGGCAAAACCGGAAGTTCAAAAAATCCATTTTGTACTCTTATAAGTGGCATTTTATATCCTAATTAACCATGCCAAATTTTATGTGTCTATCTTTAGAAATAAAAAAGTTACAGGGGTGCGCCTATTCTCAGATACACCCGGTAGGTATATCTTTGTTTGACACAAAAATTTTTCAGCCTTTGGAGCCCCTAGGCTGCCGTGAGTGCTGCGAGGTGAAATGCGAACCGTGCGGTTTGATGACTCCGGACGAGGTCCGTAAAAAGTTGGAAAGGATGGCCAGAGTGAACAAGGACTGTCAAACGAAGAATTGCAAGAAAAATTTGAGGGTTTGCTGCCAGGACGAAGGAGCCGACTGCTGTGACAAAGACGTCTGCACAGGTTGCACCAGTTGCCGGCCCTGTCCTTTTGTAACGCCTAGGTGCATAAGATGTAAACAAAAAGTACGCGAAAGTAGTGAATTCAAGTTGATTTAGCTTGGTACGAAGTTGCTCAGTTGGGCGCTACACTGTTCAAAATTTCATGACAATTTTAACACCAAATTAACACCATACATGGTCTATATCGATACAAACCAAAATTGTGTTAAATATGGTTCGTTGGTCCGGTGTAAATTCAAATACTAAAATGGTGTAAATTTAACTTTCACACAGTATTAAAATAAATTTTACCTGGTGTAAATTGAACTCCTTTTCAGTGTTAAATATAATGTGTTTTTGGTCAAATTAAATCATACTACACAGAAAAAAAGGAAAAAAAGGAAACAGGAAGTTCCTTGATGCATTACAAGTATATTACCAGTGGTATTATTCCAGAAAATTGAACCTTCAACTCGATAGAGATAATGTTTTTAGTGCGTTCCACCAACTTAAAATACTTCAAATATTGACAGCTGTTTCCACCTTTAGTATCGAACAACTTGTAGTGTCACACCAAAGCAAAGGACTACCTGAGCTTATATACTCTTCATGTAAGTCAACAGAGGCGAGATTTAAGAACATCACGTGATCCACACCGCCTTTGCCGCGATCGGTACACACTATGCAACAAGGAATGCACGGCAAATTGTTTTAATCGTTTTAACAGTGTGCTTTGGGTTGAAGTAATTCTTATTTTACAAACAACATATTTAGTAAACTGAACAATACAGCGGGTTGGTTTCACTAAAGTTTTCTGGTTTAATTTAACCAATTAAAAAAAAATAACCATCTGGTTTAGTACCGTCAAACTAATCTTTGTTTATATTAACCTTCCCACAGTTGATTTAAATAAATACTTATGGGTCAACTAAATTAATATAGTTAAATGAACTATTCCTTTTTTTCTGTGTAGGTGCACTTCTCAAATATTTTTAGATAAACACCGTATTGGTGTTTACTGTATAAAACATTTTCAACCATAATTCATGGTGTTATATTAACACTACTTGGTGTTGGATTTTGACACCATTTTATGATTTCTCTTCAAACCACAGATATTTTAAACAGTGTAGAAGTTGCAATTCAATTAAATAAACGTTGGATTGCAATGTGGCAACAATGCGTTGATAAGCTCCTCCCACAAGACTCGCGCACGCCCAAGCAGCATTTTTGGTTCCAAAAACCATTACCAAAGTGGTGATAACTTTAAATTAGTTAAGTATACTAAACAGCTACTTTAATTTTTACTTAAAAGTAATTCTAACTTTTAAATAGCAATATTTTGTAACAGAAACTTAATTTTTCCTTAAATTGTTACTATAAAGTAATAAACATTTAAGTAAAACTTGGTTGCCCCCAAGAAGACTTTGCAACTTTAAAAAAGGTGTTACAAGTAAAAAAAACTTTCAAGTAAATTTAATTTGTAGCAGTTACTTTCGGTTGCTAACTAAAGATTACATTATAATTATTTTTACTTTGTAGTCCCTTTGCAAGTTAAAATCTCGAAACTGGAACATGAGTTAAAAACTACAAAGTTAGTAACTTAAAAGTTATTATTTTAGTATTTGGAACGTTTATGGTACTAACCAAAACTACCGTAAAGTAAATTAAGGTGGAAAAAACTTTAAAGTAGCGAAAACTACTTCAAAGGAAAATGCTTCTTATCGGCCATTTTTTACCGTACAGTACCACGTGGTAATGTAAATAATAAATTATTTTAATTGTTTGTAAATGGTTTTTCACTTTTTAATAAATAGTAATTTTGTTGGTAATATTCGGTATTAAGAATAAAATAAAAAATTAATAATAAATATTAAGATTTTTTTAGTTATAAACATTATTAAATAAATAATATGTTTATACTTAAATATTGATGAAGCGCATTTATTTTACAAAAACTACATTCATAAGCTCAACAGTAAAATTTAAAGGGTTTATAAATTTACCTGCTAATTAAACATTATATTGTTATTCTGGAAGTTATAAACTATAGGTATACCAGTACATATTTAATAAACGACGACAAAGCCAAGTCCGTGGTGGTTCCATTTAAAAAAGGAGGGATAGTATAATCTAATATAAGTTTGACAAAGACAGTTAATATAGAAGTATAAACAAATAAATAATAGTTATTTATGTCATTAGGTTAAGAAGTAAGGCTTTTTGTGCTAAGCTCAAAGTTTGAAGGCCGACGCGTAGCGGAGGCCTACAATTGAGCGAAGCACAAAAAGACACTTCTTGGCCGAATGGCATACAACATTTTATCTTCAAAGCACTTTATATAGGTCAATTTAATTTAACATGAAAGCGGCCTAACCTCACTTTTTTAGAACCTCATTTATTTATTAGCTAAAGATTACATTAAATGTACAATAATTATTTTTCCTTTTAGAAGCAGTAATAGTTTGACAATACCTAGCTACATGATTTAAGTAGAAATGGATTTTTGTAAGAAAATGGTTTACTTACCCTATTGCTATTACATTGAATTCAATGAATTGTTTAATAAATAGGTATCTAATTTCAATTTGTTTGCATTTTTATTAAAAAAATAGGTAGTTTGGAATGTTTACGCTGTATTTAACATTTAATTTCACTGAAAACTTAAAGCAAATTAAAATTTGAAGATAATTTAAATCGTAGAAAAAGAAAACAACTGTGAAATTCACAGAAACGTCAAATTGCAATGTCCTAACCACACTTTTTGTTTTATTATTCATATTTAATTTTACAATAATTTAATGAAAAATATTAAACATTATAATGTTATAACAGTAAAACAAACAAATTAGTGCTTATTTTAAATAAATTAAACCAGTTTAGTACGTTAATTTCATAGAAAAGGATTAATTTGTCAAAACAATACCCCTAGCGAGAAAAAATCGAACTAATTACTTGCCTCATAAAAATTTTTATCGGCCTAGGCCATAAGAAGGTATTTCTTTATCGAATGTTGACAACAATAAAGTTTAAATTATAGACCGCGTGGAGATAAAAGTAATTATAACGCTCTAGCAACGATATTGAAACGTTCTAGTAACGTAGCAGCTACGTTCCAAATAGTAGCAGGGTTTATAGCTAGTGACATATTTGTTACCTTTTTGGAACTCAATAATTGTTCCCCACTTTAGTCGTAACTTAGTAATAAAAGAGTAATATAAAGAGACCGGCGACTGTCGCAAAACTTTAAAGTTTCTTCAATAGTCCCATATACGTAACAAATACTTAAATTGTTGCTTGGGCGCGCATTATTGAAATATAAACAGCAACCCCTTATATTACAAAGAGGCCAAAACTAATGAACTTTATACTAAACTAGGTTAACATAAATCTTGCTTGGAAAAATATTTTTTGTTTTTTGTTTAAGGTGTACGCAGCCGAACAAATATTAGTTAAGGATGGCGTTTTTCATAATAATTGCTTTACATGTCACTGTTGTAATAAAGTTTTGGACATTATAAATGTTTACGAAGGGTGTGGAGAAATATACTGTAAACGTGAGTATACTGTGTACCTAAACGTACACGTACGTGCAAATTAAGGGCAAAAATTATTAAAAAAAATACTGTTTAAAATACAATTATTTGTTTATAGTTTTTGACCTTAAATTGTGAACAACCTGTATAAGCTAAAGCAACAAAACTAAGCGAATGTGTGGCTCGTGTAATACCTAAAAAAATAACAAACTGTTTTTAAAAAATATTTTCTAGAACTTATAGTTTAAATTTTTTTCCCAAATTTGTGTACGAGGTGTGTTCAGAAAATAAAGGGAATTGTTATATTTCGCGGGTTCGGAGGGTCCGGTTGTCATAAAATTTTCTTTATTATGTTGGTATACATGCCCCTGAAGTATGATAAAAAACTTTAGCTGTTTTCATTGTGTACTTTGTCTGTGGCAGCCGCTAAGGTTAGACGTGTTTTATGAGCTCGGCGATTTTTCGTTCGTATAAGGAATGTATCAAAGAATTTCTATCCAATTTTGCTTAAAAAATGAAATAAATTCTGTGAAATGTTAACAAAGGCCTATAGTGAGTCTGCTATAAGTAAAACAAGAGTTTACAAGTAGTATAAGAGTTTCCAAGATGGCCGTGAAGACGTTGAAGATGACGAACGCCCCGAACGCACAAGCACATTAACAACCGATAAAAACATGGAAAAAGTGGAAGAAATGGTTATAAACCATCAGAGAGGTCGCTGATGATGTTGGTATATCAATTGGCTCATCCCATGAAATTTTTTCGAATGTTTTGGGTATGAAACGCGTGGCAGCAAAATTTGTTCTAAAATTGTTAAATTTTGAACAAAATTTTTGGACAAAAACAATACTGTAATGATGCCCCAGCCTCCATATTCGCCAGACATGCCTCTGTCTGACTTTTTCCTATTTCCAAAAATAAAGAGAACCTTAAAGGGCCGTCGTTTTGCAAGCATAGATGACATTAAAAGCGCATCGCTGAAAGAACTAAAGGCTATCCCAAAGATCGAGTTTTAGAAGTGTTTCGAGTATTGGAAGAAGACCTGGTACATGTGCATAATATCCAATGAGGACTATTTTGAAGGCGACAACATAAATGTAGACGAACAAATAAATATTTGTTTCAAAATATTTTCTGAACGCACCTCGTACATAAACTAACTTTAACTATTTTTTATTGCAGATTCGGATCATTCGACTAAAAATAGGTAGATTTTATCTAAAACATTTTTTTATATTTGTAATAGATGGCGCTGTTATGAAAAAAAATCAATTTTAATTAAAGTAGGTGCTCAAAATAACAATATTAAATATTTGCCCCACGAACTTTTTTTTTCGGTTGAACACTCCCGTTTGTAGTAAACTGCTTGACTGTACGGTGAAATGAAGTACGTGATCGAATTTTTTCCGGAAAACGCTGAGCGTAGATATTAACAGCATCATCAAGATTCCTGCCTGCTTCCCCATAAATCAAAATCATTTCTATTTTTTCTTCCACTGTTAAAAAATCCATTATGAATAACCGCTTAACGAAAGGAGGTCTTTTTGTTTGCAAATTGATTAAATAATGCGAAACTATAAATAGTTTCTTTATACCTTAATAATAATTATTATTTATAACTAAATACCATTTTTTATACCTCAATTAGGATTAAATTAATTAATTGACAAAATAATGTTTTTTTTACCTTAAATGAGGTATTTTGGTGCGCAATTGATAATTATCACCGAATGAAATAATGTATAAAACTTAAACCAAAGGAAACTTAAATTTTAGTTAAAAATTCCTGGGTACTTAAAAAAATCATATTTAATTTAATAAGATAATTATTTCCATATAAAGTGATTTTTTTATAGAAAAATTATTGCAGAATCGTATACAGAAGAAAAATCGAACAAAGTTGATTTTTTTCATTACAGCGCTATCTATTACAAATATGAAAAAATGTTTTGGACAAAATCTACCTATTTTACAATTTATTACAAATACAAGAAATATTTCCTAATTTTTTATATATATTTTTTTTCAGAATGTTATAATCATTTCTTTGGACTACACTACTACGGCTATGGAGCCTTTAAATCATAATCACCAGTAAAAAATTTAATTTTTTATGTAAAAAATAAAATAAAACGTCTTGTCTTGACTTAACAGATTTTCATTTCACCCCTTGACAATCTTAATTAAAAAATGGCAATGAGAAGAAAAAATCGTGTTTCGTTTAAAAATTCAAGAATTACGCGGATAACGCAGGAAAACCGGGGAATTTTGTGGGTGGAAAGTAAATTAATTTTTCTCCCCTTCAGGGCAAAAATAAAGAATTATTAAATCAACTCTGGCTTAATTCGGCTGCCAAATACAAAATGTTTGAATTAATTCTCTTTTAAACCTTTTCGTGTTTTGATTCATTTTAATAAAGTTGCCTGCATATACAGGGGTTACGTTTACATGTTACGTATAGTCCATTCCATTTAAGAATGGAGTGAATGTCAGTGTTAATCTGAATGAAGAAATAAATTGCATACAGTCCCTGTAAATATAAATTGTACCTATTAGATACAATAAATACACATTTTTTGAAAAGTTGATTAGTCTCCACTCAACGGTAAAATACCATTATATTTTGTATATAATATTATGTTGCCATGAATTCGTAGGTATATTTTGTTGTTTAAAATGCAGTTGTCGGCGTTTTTTAGAGAACTCCAATATAAAAATCACGAAATTTGGTGAAAACTTACCTTTTTATGTCCCAAATACACTGTAATATCAGCTTTTTTCAAAAAGTCGGTGTGCTTTTTGTTCGTTGAAATCTCTACTTTCTGATGGTGTAAAAAAATATACATTACTATGGCAAATTTTCTCAGAAAATGCAAAAAATAATAATGAATAACGAAAAAAACTCGAATTCGAAAATTTATTTTAATCATTATGTACAATTTCATCAAAAAAATGTGATTGTTGCAATTTTTTTAGTTAAAAAGTTTATTTATTAAATTCTAATAACATTTATGTCAGAAAATCTCATAAAATATAAAAATACATGTAAATCATACTATTGAATTTAGATACTTCATTTTGATTACGTTATTCATTATAATATTTTTTGTATTTACCAACAACAACATTTACCATAGTAATGTATATTTTTATTACACCATCAGAAAGTAGAGAGTTCATCGAACAAAAAGCACACCGACTTTTTGAAAAAAGCTGATATTTTGACGCGAGAATTTTCGATTGAAAATTAGGGTGGTTTTTTGATATTAAGTCAAAATAAGGCGAAATAATAAATATTTCAAATCAAATAAATTACAGTGTATTTGGGACATAAAAAGGTAAGTTTTCACCAAATTTCGTAGAAAAAATTTTTTTTTTAAAAAGATAAAAATAAAAAACCAAAAACTTGGTTTTTTGAATTTTTCACATAAATTTTGAGGTTATGTGAAAAAATTGAAAATACAAAAGTTGTAGATCTTTTTATTACCTACAACTTTGACATTTAACTTTTTTCCATAGGACTTGTAGTTTTGCCGGAAATCGAGATAAACCATTTTTTACCCTTAAACCCCCCCTCCCACTTCCCGAACTCAGATCGCCCGTAATTTATTTTTCCTTTAATTTTTATTATATTCCCCTCCTTTTCCAATGGGTTTCATCCTACTGTTATTTTTTTCTCTTTTTACCATTTTTAAAGGCACTGGTCTACTAAACCAGTTTTTTAGTTTTTTCCTTGCAACGTAAAACTTAGTAAGACTTCTGCCTTCCTCCCTTTTGTAAAAAAATTACCTATTTAATTAAAAATAATGTACAGTTCGTATGCTTTAAATGTATTGTTGACCATTCTTAAATTATTCTTAAATGGAATAGTGTTACTGCCAAGTATGTATAATAATAATTTATTATTTAAGCTTAGGTACATTACAAGAATACGTTTTTTTTTTAATTTTAACTCGCCATAATTTAAGTTAACACCCCGTAACTAAACGGTTTATAATAAATATTTTATTGAGGGTAGATTGGCACGCTTAGCTTTGTTCTATATATCATCCCATTTTTTATTTTATTCATTTTGTTCAACAAAACAATTTTGCGATTCGCTGTGGTGGATCCCTTTTTTTTAATAATGCCACCCCTTTTAGTTGCATTTTATTTTTCTATACAATTTAAATTTAATTTTTTACGGCCACGATTGTAGTAATGGTTTATTTTGTTATGGTTGAATTGGAATTTTATGGTCATTAGTAACTAGTGGAGAAAGTAAGGGTGGTAGTTAGCACCCTGTATAATTGTTGTTTTATTGCGAAAGTATAAGGTTTTGGGTTTTAATTGAAGCTTGGGTTTTGTTTATATTCAGTGTTTTTGAATTTTGTAAAAATCTTCATTGGTTTTTTAAATATCATCAAAAATGTAACTATATAAAATATAAAACCTATGTATAGGTGCTAGTTTTATTTAAATTTATTTTGTCATTTTATTCATTTGATTTGAAAAACAGATAATTTTCTTGCAACATACACTCACGTGCAAAATAATCGATCCACACAAATTTTCGATTAATTTCAATCGCAAATAACTTTTCTATTTGATGTCGGATTTAAACGAATATTAAAGAATATTGTAGATAAATTAATGGACAATCGCTCACATTTTAAAAAATTACTAAAAAATAGACGTACGTTTATAATATACAGGTTTAAACAAAACCGTATATTGTTCTAAATTATTTTATTTATCAAGTCACATCTATTCTTAACAGTTTTGTTTTTGGTTCACCTCGATATATTTATTTTTGTGGAAAATATGGATTTTTTTAAAAAACATTGCAATTTCCAATATTTTTCCTGTATGAAAAACTAAGGTTGCTATTGTCCTTCCATAGCCTATGGAGAATGACAGTGACAGTTTTGTGAAATCATCCCATACTTGGACATGTCATATACAGCTTTCATAAGCTATCAAATTGTTTTTTGTAAATTAATGTGTAAATTTTGAGGTGTCTTCTTACTTTTAAAAATGTCTCCGACTGATGTTGCCCTTTGTACTTTACTTCTTATGACGTTTAAAACACTTGCCACGTAATACTGTGACCGTCCATCCTGGATTAAATTAATAGCTCTGGCAACATCAGTCGGAGACATATCCATTTATTGGACGTATGTCCAATAATAGAAATTTACTTTTTTTACCAACCATGGTTGCAGTAATTGGACACTGGCCATTTTACTGTTTGATTTCATAATTAAAATTAAAACGCATTAAAGTGACAATGTTTAAACCATGAGAAACACATTTATACCACACACTGATCTGTACACTTTTTAGAAACATTTTTGATTGTAATTTAAACACAGCCCTGCTCTTAACAAAAAAACAAAAATCTTACCACCAAAGTAACGTGCGAACTTTTTTGTCCTATATTGGACCCAAAATGAAGTTGTTCTATATTACTACCGACTGAGATATTTATAATTGTATAACCGCCGACGGTGGACTAGTGGTTAGTGCTGCTAACTACAAGACGAGAGGTCGTAGGTTCAAATCCCACCAGGGGTATGGCTGTTTATTTGTGTTTGTCCTATTGTGTAATAGTCCTTCGGAGGGGACTTTAAGCCCGCGGTCCGTTCCTACCCCTAACCCGCTCAAGCCATTCAGTAGGCTTCTGGGACTTCTTAGGATGTAAGGGTGGAACTAAAAGAGCACTTTTTTTGTATACAGCGTCATCTAACTATTTATATAACTCTTGTTTTTACAGTATGTGTCCGATAACTACTCTACTTTACCCTAAATGTTTACAATTTTATATGTATTTTATATTGCGTTTTTGACGTTTTCCTATACAATTTTGTAAATTGTTGTTTTTGAAAATAAATATTACTATTTAGGTGACACTTCTTTGGTGGCGTTCTGATATTTGACGAGAATGGAGAGTGAATTGTGAAAAATGTAACGTTCCGAGATTTCGTTACACGAGAGAGAAAAAAGATATGCGTGTACGTTATATCTATAGAGAGAAGGGGAAAGAGAGCTATACGAGTGAACCCGAGACAAATTTTATTATTTTTAAGTCGCGTTTATTGGAAAATGTACATTTTCGTGAAATAAACGATAGGTATTCTAGCGCAAAATTATTTAAAAAAATAAAAATTGTTGCCAAATGGTTTATTTCTACCAAAAATAAATCAAATAAACAATTATGAGTACGGTAGAGTAGCGAATATTCTACCGTTTTTATTATTTTATAATAATGCGGCTTATTTGTAATAACGCCGACAAAAGACAATTTATTTCAGATGAAATTAATCAAAAAATATTTTTGACACAAATTTTATAGAAGTTTCACTTCTACCACGTGTAGGTACGATGCTGCACATGATTTTTATTATTATTAGAATGAAAAATGTTAACCTATAACATTGACCAACTTCCTCACTATGTTTGTGGGACATTTGCGGTACATCATTTACATTTTTTGCAGGATTATTTACCATAAATTCCCATTAAATCATTGACAAGGACTCTTTCCCCTGCACGCAGCGTCACAACTGTTAATTTTGCGTCGCCACGTGCGCGAACGTACGCGCTTCTTTGACTGTTGAATCTATCGCAGACATAAATGTCACCGACATGTAATCGTTTTATTTAAGAGGGCGGCCGGGAAATTTTCCTGAGCTGCCCGCAGGATAATGAGCCGGTGTCCTGCAAGCGACAGGACTTATGTGGCGCGGACGAGGTAATGGGATTCATTGCTGTGTCAAAGGATAGCTATTAGAATCAGGCCTTGGTTATAAAAAATTGATTGTAGTTTTAGGGTATGAGGGTATGTTGTTTTTTAATAAAACCTTTAAACGAATAATAGTATATTATGTATGAAGTTTCATAAACGCCATTTTAGTCACGTTTTAAAGTTTAAATAACTACAAATTTACTACTAAGTAACCAAAACGGTTTTATAACGGTATAGATACGAAAATTTACAAAATTTGGGGAATGGTTTATTTCGTTATTTTACCTACATAATTCCCTTTTTAATCTACTAAGAGAATAACGTAATAAAAACAATATAAATACCACAAATTTACGTAAAAATAACACTATAATTACTAACTGTTTGCTCTCTCTTTCTAAAACATTCACATTCGTAAT